TATGAGAGAGCCTCCCAAAAAAAAGACAAACGAAATTCACAGCTCACGTTTTGGTAATATTTTTTATTACGTCATTATCGTTTGACCAATGAAAAATCTTAATTTGACTAAAACCGTAATGATTCCAAAAGATTCCCCGTAATAGGCCTTTCAACCTGATGACGTAAGATATTGTGATGCTTTTGAAAAGTGAATAAAATAAAGATGCAAGGCGCGACCCGGCTCAGGGCCATATAATACCGTTTTAGCTTACGTTTACGTCATTAAATTCAACGCTACAAAGATGATATTCACAAACAATCGTATCGTAAAATTATGTGAGGTAGAAAAAAATGAATATTCTTTTAAAAAAACTCCAGACTTTTGAATTTCCAGTTTGATTTTTTATTTATTTTCATTATACTCGAAGGTAGAAGTAGAACGCTTAGCTCATTTGTTATTTGAAATGACGTCACGAGTTCTATTTAGATACTGAATAATCATTTTACGGTAAATATCCCAGGCCATTACAATTGATATTTCGCTTCCCATCGCTTCCGCCGAATATTTTTATACTTTTTTTATATCTCAGTTTATTTTATCAAATATTTCTTTCAATAGATTGAAATATCTTTACCCAACCAAGCCACATGTGTCAGTATCATCTTTTATTGTTTATCAATCAATTGTGTTAGCTGGAAACTGGAAAGCCTCATGGTTGTCTAATGCAAGATTGTCTTATCAATGTCATTATGTAGATTCTAACATGAATTGTGATGTGGTAGGTACCTAGTAATGTATTGTTCATTAGTCATTACTTTGACTTACCTCTATGTTAATTGTTAATGCAAACTTTTCTGTTGGTAACAATCTTCATGTCACTCAATTCTCTCAAGTTGTGACCGTCATGAGCCTCCTTTATTTTGTATTCTGTATAATGTAACTGGATGCCTTTACTAATAAGGCCTTTGTACATATAAGATTGTTTCTAACCATACTTTGGTATTCATAACTTCTTATGAAAGAAAGTTGTTAACATTTTGAGCACCTATGAGCTATGATCCCAATGGATCTCACGACAAAACTGGGGAGCCGGATCTATGATCCGAGTGGATCTAGCGACAAAATTGAAGGGTCAGATCTATGATCCCAGTAGATCTCTCGACAAAATTGAGGGGTTGGATCTATGATCTGAATGGATCTCGGATCGGGATCCATGGGATCGGATCTCAGATCCATTTTTCCGGATCCAAGCACATGTCTGGTTTTAACATTTTTTCTATAATAACCTTTTACTAAAAACGTCGCGACATTGATTTTGCCAGCATCGCGTTCCTCTCGTCGAGACGCGTCGAATGAACAATTGGCTGACCTAAAAAGGTCAAGTAAAGAATTTGATCTCGGGTTAAGGTCACGAAAAAGGTCATGTTGCATGTCATTCGATTCGTGCAGTTGAGCTGGGCACATTCGTGGTATTTTTTTTTTTTTTTTTTTACTTCAGCGCTGTATTTAGATGTTTGAGGCTGTTTTCGACCAGAAGAAGAGCATTTCAATTTTCTCCCATTAACTTATAATGGAGAAGTCACAAAATTAACCTCACCTCAGGTCACCAATATCAGAATTCCGAGATGAACAAATTGTTGATACTGACTCCCTCATGTAATAGCCCGAGTTTCAAAGTTTCAGGATTTATACTATAGGAATAACTGAATCACAAAGTCTTTAGAGGTATGGGCACCTAATTTGACCTGGTGACCTGACCATACGTGATTTGCAGTCACAATTGTCACACACGATGCAAAATTGATGTATCACAAGCCATACTAAGTTTCTTTCTTAACCCTCGCCCGTATAGGCCGGGTCGAACGGACCCTCCCTAGGTTTTTCGCGAATAACTCGCGTAAAAAGCGGCCGATTGCAACGAGCCTTTCAGTAGGGTAAGGTGCCTAATTAGCGACCCTTTCCTATTTGCGACCTACCTCCCTACAGAAAAACTGGCAGGAGAAAGCGGGGTGAAAACATTGTCAAAAGGTCAGCCATACTTTGGTTATCAAATTAAAATATTTTCCGGTTGTCGGTGTTTCTGGTGGGACGTTTCAGGTGAGTTTAAATAAAAATGACGAGTTTCTTATCCAAAACGTGTGTATTTGGACCCTCTCTGATGAAAAGCGATACACATTAGAATGATGCTCCTTTTTTATTCTGAATCGACAATCCTTTTTCAATTGATTACCGTGTTCCCGTAGTGAATCGCTTAGCTGTGCACTGTACGGTGGTTAAAAATGTGTCGCAACCCACATTCCCTATTTGCGCCCAACATGGTCGCAAATAGCTCAAGCAGGGAAAGAAAGGGGAAAAGAGAGAAATGAAAATGAGGTTTTGCTGAAGCTTGCAATGTGTGGCAAGGGATGCCAAATGTCGTCACCGACTGCAGGGGTGCCGAATCCAGCGCGGACCTCGAATATCATACGAGATAGCCCGCAAAATTGGGGCTGTCGCCTTCTTTTCGCCTTCGGTGCATCACGTGATCAGTTTTTACTTACGTAAACGTGTTTGATAAACGTTCCTGTTCGAGTGATTGAGAGCTTTGCGTATAGGCTACCTTTTTGGGATCATATTTCAATTTTTCAGGCGTCGCATTTTTTGCCATTTTTAATACGGGAAAACCCATAGACTTATTAGCGACCCTCCCCGGTCGCTAATCGGGAAAAGTTCCCTATTAGCGTTTTTTGCAATGGTTTGCCAAAATGCTCACTACAAATAAAGTAGTGGATTTTGGAGCAGAAAATGACTATATCTTAATAGAAAAATGAACGATCTCTACGAAAATCAAGCCAGTAATGCAGTGGCACTCATAGAGCGTGAGCAATGACGGTTCAAATTAAGGGGGTCGCTAATTAGGCACCTTACCCTACCCTCGCATTAATCAATTTTACACATACCCTGAAAATTATATGACCCTGACTCAAATGACCTTTCCCTGTGACCTACTTTTCGAGACCATGTTTGGCCGGAATTGCGATTCGGCGTATGTCGGCTCGCATTAGCGGCGCGTTTGCAGTCTTTTCGTAGTTTCAAGCGTTCAAACATGTGCTATGATGTTGGTCCCATGCATTATGGTGGGTGTCAAGGTCACCTGAAGGACAGGTCAGGTCATTGACCTTTGATGACCTCGGTTCACTTTTTCGAGTTTTTCATGTTTCTAGGGAATTCGAATTTAGCAACCATATGAACATTTACGAAGTAGTTTTGGTGCCTTCTTAATTAACATGTTACGAAGCTGTCAGAGGCGGTTGACACCTACTACAAATACTCGGCAGGACCTCTACTGGTTGACCTGACCTGACCTGACCCGACCTAGCCTAAATGCATGAAGACATCATCTCTGATCAAAACTAACATGATATTCTAGCAGCTACCCTTTACGACGTTCTAACGGGTCCCGATCTTCCCGACTTTTGGGTCATTGACCTGACATGAAAGGTCAACCAATGACCTAGGACCTTAAAATTGGGTATCATCGGCTTCCTCTCGTTACGGGCAACACGCTCCTTTTTCCGCGAAGCTCTAACTCGATCAGGGGCGAAACGGCAAGGGGGTCCAACGGACCCTCCCCCCTCCCCGTATACGCTTGCGGCTGGAAAACACCAATACGGATGAGGGTTAAACTCGCAAAAAACTGGCAGGTGTTGCCAAAAACGCCCCAATTCACCCGGGCGAAGGATAATATTTATTGACTTATAGTGAAAAAATGAATAACTTACGGCACTGAAAGCTTCGCTGCGATCTGCCAATTTTTACGCGAGTTATTCAGAAGAAAAAACTGAGGAGGGGGGTTCATTTGATCACCCCTAATAAGAAGAACGGTTTAAATGTCATTAAAAGTAAACAGTAACATCAAAAAATAATATTTCCTGTATATTTCTCAATTAAATATTGTAAGATCCTTCGTTATGATTAATAAATGCTTGCATGGTCAAAAGATATTCTAAGCTGACCAGCAAGACATTTCCATTTTATTTTACACCTGAGCCATCATCCGTTCGTTCTAGCCCCTCCCGCCTGCCTCCGCCCCCCCCCCCTTCCCACTGCCACCACCACCACACAAGCCGAGTTATAAGGCTGAGGCGAGCGCCTCCCCTTCCTACACGCCAAACAGCGCCGGGCTCTCGTGACCTCTAACCCCACCGCCCGAAGGCTCGGCCGCTGTCCAAGGACACCCGCGCGGGCCACAGTGATAGCCTCTGCCGAGTCCCACCTCTATCCAACGCTGGATTCATTCATGCCTCTGTGTTTCCGCGTTCTACTCGTCAGGCGGCGCCACTGTTGTCAAAGGCGACTGCAGGGAAGCCGCGGTCAGAATGCCCCAAACGGCGGATTTTGATATTTTCTTTTAATTCCTCCGAAACTAGCCGGCATACGATCAAACTGTTTTCCATGCTTATGGTAGGGAGGTATACGAATAAATCAGTCACACTTTTAAGCCTACAAAGCTGAAGGCGAAAAAGATATAGCCGGAAAAGCAAAACCTACGCTTAAAACCCGCGAGACCTGTACACAAATGTTCCGTCCGCGCTTCTTCCATTCCACCAAAATGAGTTGAAGGTGGCTTGCCCCACCCGTCAGCAGGAGCACGGCCTTCTACCGCCAGCACCAGTCTAGCGTGGACAGTCCCGAGCACCGCCGATACTGGGCTCCAACGGACATTGCCGGCCGGTCGCTGTGTGACTAAAAGCGCCGATCTAGGTGGGAGATGCTTCTTCCATCAGGCTCATCTAGCTTTCATTCTGACCGCGCACTGTTCGACCACTCTGCACCAGCGGATCATCCAGCATATCATCCAGATCATCCAGAATAACCGATGGCGTCTACAACGGGGATCAAGCGGTCCGATGGCTCCCGATGTGAGGTGATTCCCGGTTACATTACCTTGACAGAGCACTTGTTAAATTCACAGTAGGTACGTTATGATCCTTAAGCTTCAAGAGAATAGAGATCTTGCAGGCGCGGGCGCTACAAACCTGGCGTTGAGGCTGCCGTAGCGCTGGTTGACCTGCTCCATGGTACGCTTGATATGTCTCGTGTCCTCGCGCTGGCAACTGGCGATCAGCTGGTGCGTCAGCTGGCTGAAGGCCTCCACGCGCTGCTTGTGCTGGTGCACCTCCAGCGCCAGAGCCTGGTGACAGGAGATAGAACGCGACAGTCAAGATTACATGCAGACAGCCGAGGGCATAGACAGTTGAGGGACAGTTAGATCGTTGACTGAAAGCTGAAGGATAGTCGGGGCACGGAGGGACAGCCACACCCCAGAAAGACAGCTGAAAAGAGGGACAATCAGATCGCAGACAAACACCTGGGAGACACACCCAAGACACAGACAGGACTTCAAGCAGTACAAACATAAATATTTTCTATGAAAACAAATGGAGCAGGTGTCGGCACAGTCGTCTGAGGGTGGCATTCCACGCGTGTAGACCCCGGCGGCACCATTACCAGATTTAGCCAGCCTCCCAGCCGCCTCGCCAGCCGCTCACTGGCTGAGGAGGCGCCGAAGCGACCTGTCGGTATTTTGGGATGGTACCCTGGCGCTATACCCCAGCCGCCGCCGGCCATCCGTCTACTCGTGGCCCGCAGCCCCGGTTCACTGGGTCAGTCCCGAGTGACCCCGAGAATGCAGCGCACCTGTGACCGACCTTTTGACACAGCCCACCCGGAGCCGACCGCTCCGTCGGCCAGGGCCGATCAAAACACCGCTAACGAATACAGATTGGCGGGATTGATCGGGATGACAACGTGGGCGACGGCTGTCCCGACCCACCCACACACACACCAAGCCGGCACAATGACGCTTCAGGTCGGCCCACTAATACTCCTAGTTCTAACCGATCCAAAGACACCTGGCCCCGACACACCACCATTTTCGTTTCCAGCCGCCCGGGCGCCGCCGCCGTCGCCTGCTCCAATCTGGCCCATCCGGCTCTGTCGCCAGGCACGGCCGCAGCGCCGCCGTCGCCGCCGCCGCTGTCACATCGTTAATGGTAATTTGGGCTTAGGAGCCGAGCGGCGACGCTCCCCGCGGGGCGCGGACTGCTTTCAGCCGACTCGGCTCGGCCGGGCGCCGATCTACGCGCGGCGGAGGCGGAGGAGCGGAGTGCACCGCCCGTTTCACTCGCCGCCCGACACGAGGGAGAGAAACCTGACGACAGGAGCCAGCCGCGCCAGCACGGTACGACACCTAATTTCACCGTCCGAGAAGTCAGCGCGAGCGCCAGCCGCGCATGGGACCGGTGAGCGGACGGACGGGGTCGCAATTAGTACCCCAGACGGGTATATACAGACAAAGCAACACAGAGGACGGCTTCCACTGCACGGGAGAGTTGCATCAGTTTTCTGTGCTCGGTCCGTCTACTACGCAGGGACAGGTAGGTGTTGCATCACTTGTCCGGTCAGTCCAGACACCAGCGAGGTACAAGCACACAGCTGTACTAATCAGCTCACGGCAACGGACAGCGGTATCCCGCCGGCCCCTGGGCCTGGCGAGCGACGGGTCACCAGTAAACTCTCGGTACTCTGCCTCGCGAGTGGTGAAGGACGGGTCACCACTTCCCCTACCCCCTTTGGCCTGGTGAGTAGTGAGGGACGGGTCACCACCCTCGGCGCCGGTCCCGGCACCACGCGCGCCCACCAATGATCAATCGGTCTCCTCCACCATCGATCGGCACGGGCCGCCTCACATTGGCCTCTGGTCCCCGACCGGGCCCGTATGGAGACAGTGGCCGGGGGGGGGGGGGGGGGGCGGCCGAAGTATCTACACCCACCCACTCAGGCCAGGGCGAGCAATGAACCGTACCGCCGAAATAGGCGCTCTCTACAGACTCCAGGCACGACGATAGAGCCGAAATCCATCGGATCCGGACCGGACACACCGCTACACGATCGCGTGTCGTCGCTCGCGATGACCTTCCACGTGACAGACAGCGCGCGCCGACGATGTCGATAGAGCATTGCTGGCACCGATCGCGTCTGACAGAACACGACCGCGGCGTTATCGGACGCGACAGCGTGCAGCGGAGACACCGGGACGCGGCAGTGAGCGTAGACACTGCCCTCAAACGCCGCGCCGAGCGGTGGATACTGTCATTCCACGCAGCGGAGGGAGGACACTGTCAGCCCAGACAGCTTGAATAGAGGCGGACACAGCCGTTAACACAGGCAGCACCGGGCGGCGGAGACCACCATCCCACGCAGTGGCAGAGTTCGTCCCCGGGCCGTAATATGGCCTTCGTGCTCGTTAGACAGTGAAGAGCGGCGCCAACTCGATGATCACCTCTGTCGGAGGGCCGTCAAAGTTAGGCGCTCCGACGATACGTGCCGACGTGGCGCGGCCGGCATCTGCAGACTGCGCCAGTCCCAGGATAGGGACTCAGACGACTGTCAATTATTGGAGAAATGAACGTCCGTTATTGGTGGCGGCGAATGTCAATTAGGAGGGAGGGACCGTCAATAACACGAGGGACAATTGTTAGTCATTAGAGAGACGACGCTCAATCATAGGTTCATTTACGGGTCGACAGTCACAGGTAGCGCCGGCGGCAGTTAGTCACCGGTAGTGCCAGCCGAACATCACCAGTGCGGCAGTTTGTAAGTCACAGGTAGGTCCCGCCGACAGTCAGGTAGGGCTTGACCGTCAGAAAAGGTAGCATCACCGGCCGTCATCAGAAAGTAGCCGCCGACTGACTGTGTCGTCCATCCGTACCTTCTGCTCCCTGATCTGCGTCTCGAGCAGGTCGGCCGTGTGTCCGACGGGCGTCAGCTGGTCGAGCCGCACCTCGAGCCGGGTCAGCCAGGCGGCCAGCTCCGCTCGGCTGGCCTCCCACGAAGCCGAGTCCAGCCGGGCCGTCTCCAGCTGACTGAGTCGGCGGTGAACGGCCGCCTCCGTCTGGTCCCAGGACTCGCGCAGCTGACTCACTGGAATACAGGGACACTGCCGTGAGACACAGAGATACAGACACGCAGCAGCCTCCGTCTGGTCCCAGGACTCGCGCAGCTGACTCACTGGAATACAGAGACACACAACCGTGAGACAAGGAGACACACAGCCGCCAGACACAAAGACACAACGAACACAGCCGTAAGACAAGGACAGACACACAGACACACGAGACGACCGCCTCCGTCTGGTCCCAGGACTCGCGCAGTTGGCTCACTGTAATACGACGGAAACACAATGTCAATTACACAGCCACAGCCGTCAGACACACAGCAGTCCGGCATACAGAGACACGCAGTCAGGCACAGGACCACCTCCGTCTGGTCCCAGGACTCGCGCAGTTGGCTCACTGAAATACGGAAACCGTGAGACACAGAGACATAACCGCGAGACACAGGGACACAACACCGTCAGACACACAGACACACAGACACACAGAGACACGCAAAAACAGCCGGTAAGACACAGACAGACAGAAACACACAAACAATCATCAACATACGGCCGCCTCAGTGACGCACGTTGTCTCAAACACAAAGACAATCCACCCAACTCGCGAACTCCCTAACAGTTTCAAGTGGCAGCAGTCTGTCTCATAACACTGCTTCTCTCATCAGGAGCAGTAATGAGCCGATGGTGAAATTAGTGACGAGCATTAGATGGAGGGGAAGTTTGGATCCGCCAGACGGACTAATTACACGCAGCGCGAGCGCGCCAGCTGACGACTGGGAGCTGGGGAAGCTGGTTCGGCCCCAACTGGGGGTCAGTGTGGAAATGACACGCCGCCAGAGACGAACAAAAGTCCGACCTGGGGGTCACTGTGGCAATCGCACACCGCCAGCGACGAACTCTGCCCGATACGGTGCCCGGGGTTAGTGTGGTAATGAAATATCGCCAGACCCTAGTCCGTAGTCTGTGTGGCACTGACAGACCGCCAGACCCTAGTCGAGGGTCAGTGTGGCAATGACCAGAGAGGAACCCAGTTCGACCCAAGTACGGTGAACAATGTCGCAATGACGTGTTGCTGGACCCTAACCCGAGTGGCAATGACAAGACTGCTAGTGACGGACCGAGTCCGGCCCCTGTCGCGGTCAATGAGACATGGGAGGAAAGTGAGGACGTCCGACGACCGACAACTCCGGTAGCTTAGCTCTGCCCTCTCCCCCTCCCACCCCCGGCGGCGGCCCTGGCCGGTGCTGTGGCACTGGACGAGACATGCATCCATCAGTCCTTCCCGCGGCCTGCTCTTGACAGATCTCCCGCCGGACTGGCCGCTAACGGCCCTTCTCGGAATTTGAGGGGATAGGTGCACGCTACCCTGACAGGTCCACTACGTTCGGCCAGCTGACAGGGGTCAGTAGGTCGTCCCCGGAACAACCACGAGGCCGGCTCAGTCCCCTACGCCCCGCGGTTTTGACAGCTCCACCACCGGAACGTAGCGTCAGCGCGTATGTGTGTGAGGGGGAAGATACCCCGGTCTGCCCCGCAACTCCTGACAGGTCCTCCGTCGGACCAGCTGCTAACGGAGGTCAGTAGGAGGGGGACATGACCCAGTCTGCCCCGCGGCTCTGGCAGATTCCCCACCGGGTCAGCCACTGACGTGGGTAAGTAGGGGCGGGGAGGGGGTCCCGGCCTTCCCCGCGGCTCTGACAGGTCCCGCAGACCGTGTCGTCCGCTGACGTGGGTAAGTAGGGGCGGGGAGGGGAGGGGGTCCCGGTCTGCCCCACGGCTCCAACAGGTCCTCCGGACCGTGTCGTCCACTGACGGCGTTCAGTAGGGGGAGATGTCCCGGTCTGCCCCGCGGCTCTGACAGGTCCCGCAGACCGTCAGACCACCGCTGACGGCGCCTCGGTGACCGAGTAACAGGTGCTGGCGTCAGCAGACGGACGCCACTGCCGAGTCGCTGTCGAGTCAGCGGCGAGCCGGAGACCGCTGACGGCGCACTACGTGGCCCAGTCCCACGACTGACACCAGTGAGGACCCGGCAGAGTGCAGAGACCGAGCCTAGTTCAGTGCCGAGACCGGACTTAGCACGGGATAGAAACCAATGTCGATCAGTCCGGAGAGCTGTTCAGATCAGAAACCAGCCCTGGCCAGTGATACAAGCGAGCAAGGAACCATGGCTGGTCCATAACTAGCCATGGTTATTACACAAACCTCAATAGTTTAGGACATACGAATGACAGTGCGCATTAGACACAGTAGGTCCGATCATTCGCAGATTTGTCCGTCCAGTAGGTAAACCTAGGATCCACACCATAGCCCGTCACCCCAGAACTCGTCGAGTCTCCAGCCGGCCCGACTAGGTCAACAGGCGCGCGACAGAGGCGCTCCAATTAGCGTGTTATGATCCGCGCTGGTCGCACGTGTTTACAGGCCGCGCCTAATTGAACTACCCGATTCCTGCTCACGGCCTTCAAGCACGTGCCGCGTTATAGACGTGCCGATCGATGCGCCGCAGGTATTGTGGGGCTGGTGTATTGTTTGTGCTGACGGAGGGACACAAACGCGCTGCAGGATGCCAGAGGCGCACGGCTGGAGCGAGCATTCGCTGATTTTGGCGGCCGGCAAAATCGCAAAACGATCGCAGCGGCCGCCATGAGGCCTGCTGTAGCTCACAGGAAGCAAACAAGTTCGAGATGGGACTGCGGCGCAGATGCCAGAGGAGTCAACGCGCTTCACGTTGCACATTGCGCAATCCAAGAACTGCCACTGGCACAGTCCCCGGAACAGACGCTGACGGACTAGGATTGGAGCGGCTGCACAGCCCTGGAACTGACAGTGGCACAGTCCTGCATGGAACCGCCAACACAGGCCCGGGAACGGAGCCACAGAAATGTGAAACAAATGCATACGACGAATCATAATCAGACAAAAGGGCATAACCGGACCCCACCATCGCTCACCACTCTGCGAGGGGTGGCCGAGGGCGCGGTGCCGCCGGGCGCCGGACCGTCTCCTTCCATTAGCGGCGTGTGGCGACCATCAGTCATGGATCGTGTGTCACGCACACCGGGTGCCGCCGGCACGCACCTCCAGGCGCCGGCCGGTCCACTGACAGAAACCCGATGAGGGGAGGTGGAGGGGCGGTCCAACAGACGTCGGAGCAGGCGTAAAACAATGGGAGGTAACGACAAGGGCCGGGCGGTCCGAACATCGTCTGCATAGCTTCTGGACGACGTCGATTCAGCCTACAACAGGACTCTTCGTCACCTAGTCCCAATGTAATCCCTTCAGTCGTGAGCTGCAACCAGCTCTAATCATAGCACTGCTGCCCTTTGCAGCTCGCTGCAACACAAAATAAATGAGAACGCTAAGCTCCACATTTTCGTTCAACGTTTCACAAGCTCAGCATGCACGAAATGACATTTTTCCTCGGCGGGTCGGCTTTTCTGCGGAGCTGCGGAGAAACGAGGCCACGTGGAGCAGACGACATCTGCCGCATAACTCAGCGAGGGCGAGACGATGAATTAACGACCCGGCCGCCGCTACAAATGACCCTCGGCCGGCGCTGCTGGCTGCGGCGACAGCACCGCCGCACCGCGCGCCACGCCCCCGGTACTGCGCCATGCCATACACTACACAATGAGCAATCAACACTCGCCAGTCGTCTTTGAGTCGACCGCCCGACATCCATAAAATGGGCCGGCTCATTAAAGACTGATTAAGTCGGCCGACGGGCTTCATGACGTCAGTAGCGCGCCGCCGCCGCCGGTTCATGGCTGATTAGGCGGACAAACGGTCCGTTTAATTCTCGCGGCCACCGGCGCCGGCCCAATCAGAGTCGGCTGATGGCTGGCGGCGGCGTCATCGACCTGTCACCCGACGGCGCCGGCGAGCTCGTGGCGAGCCCTGCCGCCCAGCCCCGTCCCCGGCTGCACAGCGCCTGGGGACGGGGTCCCGCCGCCGAGCCCCGCAAAAGGTGGGCACTGCACCAATAATAATGTTTATGTTGTGTGTGCTGCATCTGTGAAACCAGCGACGCTGTCCGCCTTTATATGTCTCCGATGGAGGGAATTCCCCGAACCCGTACCGCATTTCACGAAAGCGAGATTCCCTATCCCTTCCATGCTACCCGGGACTCCCACCCCAATGGCAATGTTCACGTAAACGGGACTCCCCGTTTCTAATGAACAGGACGCCGTAGAAGGTGGCCGAACGGGTTACCCCGCTCCAGACAGATGAGCCCTGTCTACTCTCGAGAGCGACTGCAGCCTGCCTCCTCCCGGCCGAGATAGTCAGAGTCTATCTGTATCGCTAGTCAGAGGTTGTAAGTGCTCAACCCCGCGGCCCCAGTCACGGCCCGTCGTGCGCCTGACTGCGTCGGCCGTTCCAGATGAATGGAGCGAGCTGCACAAACCAAGTCAAGCTGTTCCGAATGCCGTCACGGGACAATGAGCACAGCTGGAAGAGGTACGCGGAGTGGAGTGTCAGCACGTGGAGACGGTGTATGAATGTGGGGCATGTGTGATAAGCAATGTGCTATTATTGTGTCTATTATTCTATTATTGTGTCAATTTGACAACCGGATAAAATAGTCTCCACCTTTGTTCTTCCTCTCCAAACGAGCACTGGCGGCGGGAATGGCCCGGCGAACGACCCCCATCCAGACGGCCAATGGACAGCCCTAAAACGACACAGCGCCGAGGGTCGGTGGGGAGAGCTCGGGTATGCATCATTCCGAATTGCCACTGGCTCGAGAGAGGGCCAACGTAGAGGTCAACCCAAATCCCTGAAACGACCGTCTCACAATGGCCGTGGAAATAACGGCTCGACGTCTGGCTGCCAGGCTGGAGCGGTGTGTCGGGAGGGGGGAGGGGGGCGCCGACCGGGTCCAGCCGTCAGCACGACCCGGGTGGTACTACTGATCGGCCCTGAGACTGAAATAGTAGGCCATCAAGTGAGCTCACGTCGGCCCGGCTCGACGGAAGAGATTGCCGCTCCCCGCCACTGGCACAGCCCGCTACCACGGCGACTGACCAAGGATCTCTCCCACGTCCAGCGTTCCAGCGGCCACCATCTAATGACAGCCTATCCAACCCGCCTCCTCCGCTTTCTCCGCTCCTCCGCCACCGGCCGCCGGCTCCGCGGCACGGGCTATCGGGGGATAAAGTCCCACTAACTCGTCCCGTATCGACCGTGGGCGGCCAGGCGCCAGTGGCGGCCGACCGGTCCCCTGCAGCCCCTGTAGGAGGCGCCGCGCCGGACACTCCGCGGCAGAACCTGCTGCGACAAACGTCCCATCGCTGACCAAAGCTGTCCGTCCCTCATAGGCACCGACTTGCTGTCCAACTGTTCCTCCAACCGACACCAGTCGTCCCTCCGACGGACAATATCAGACAGAGGGCAGACAAGATAGCCCGCCACAACAGCCACCTCTCCAGAGGCCTCCATCAGCCATCCTACCAGGGATTCAAGTGTGAAGCCCACCGACACCAGTCACCCACTCCCCGGCCGACGCCAGACACCCCTCTCCAACTAACCCCAGCCGCACTATACCAGCCACCGCTTCGATCGACACCAGCAACCCTTTCGCCCCTCATACCACTAGGCTTTCCCACTTTCTTTGAACCACAGAGTAGCAAAAGACAGCGGCCAGCGACGCGCAGAGGACAGCGAGCGGCGGTCGGTCGGTCGGACGGCAGACTGGTGATAACTGTCCATCTGATCAGTGATGATCTGATCTGACCACTGATCAGTGATCACTGTCAGTACTCTACAGTTGACAGCCAGCTGTCAGCCGTCAGTGGCCCGTTCGCACGGCGGCGGCGTGTTGAACACAGCGCGGCCGAGAGCCGAGAGGCGTATCGACCCAACAGAAGCGGCGGCGCGGCCGACACCAGATCACCGACGGGTCAGAATAGCACCAGCCGGGCATACTAGGAATCCCGGCCGGCACGCGCCAAAACCAACCCGACTTGGGCTGTTTGTTTGATGGGATTTTATAGTCCAGTGACCCGTTCGTATTTAGACCATAATGGATACTCAAGTTATTATTTGGTTGGTTAACTTATTCAATAACGTTATCAGTGGCTCATAACTTCAGCCAGTGATGAAACAATCTCCCTTCTGAGGGGCATATTGGCTGCAGCGTTCGGAGGTCCACGAAGCGACGTGAAGCGTACATCCTCCAAGGCGATCGCAAGAACGTCATTACATTTCTTGTTCGTGGTCATATGAGGCTCATATAATCTGTAGAGTGCACTGTGATCGTTCGAGCATCGAGGACCTGCTCCCGGTCGGAAACCCTCGTTCGTACCTTGGTGTGTACCTTTGGCGTACCTTCGTCCGTACTTTTTGTGTGCAATGTAGGTAGGTACAATCGTCCGTACCTTTGGTGTGAACCTGCTGCCGATTGTGGTCGTCCTTCAGGCCGTCTGCCGAGCTGACCAGCTCGCTGAGCTGAGCCTTCCGCGACTCCAGCTCCCGGAGCACATTCTGTCGGAGAAGGGAGTAACAGAAGGTTAGGTCAGACTGCAGACAGACTGCAGGTCAGGTCAGACTGGAGACACAGCGCTGTCCGCGACCTCAGCTCCCGAAGCACATTCTGGGGGAGAATGGAGTAACAGAGGGTTAGGTCAGACTAGAGACACTGCGCCTTCCGCGACTCCAGCTCCAGGAGTACATTCTGAAGAAAAGGAGCAATGGAGGGGTGGAGAAGGGAGTAACAGAGGGTTAGATCAGGCTGCATACAGACTGCGGGTCAGATCAGACTGGAGACCTAGTCGGCGACAGGGTCACGGCGAGTCATATCAGACCAAAGCTACAGTCGGCAGACTGCAGACACCGGCAGGTCAGGCCAAACAGTAGACAGTAGGTTGATCAGGCTTAACAAGTGGAGAAGGACAGCCTAGCGGGCGCACTGAGTTGCAGCGGCTTATAACCATAAACAAGTTAAAACAAATGGCCGAATCGACACAGCGGAGACAAGACGTCACTGAGGCAGAGGCGTGAGCACGCACCGTAAAACTGAATAACGGATCCCCTGGAACCCATTACAAAATGATGAAGTAGGGCTACGCCCGGTCCATGCGACAAATTCCCGCTTTGATATACGATCTTAACGGAGCTCACTCCAAGCTAAAATCGATAAGGTAGATTTGACGATTGAGCTATAAATTAGGTCATGGTTGGTTTAGTGTCCTTTGAGCGTGAAGTTCCATTGGAATTACAGCGTTGGCTGCAATAATTTTCACACCAGTGCCATTCTCAGTTGTATTGTCAACGTCAAAACTACCGGTTTAATTGGTGAAGACAATGTGCAACGAAAACAATGAATCTGATTTGTGTTCACTGATAAGCAGTTTCAATGCTGCCATCAAGTACTGGGGCATGGTGAAACAAGTCCACCGAAACATTCATCACGTTCGCGTTTAGACGATCAAGTGATAAAATTGCAGCTAATTACCACAGAGATATGTTCAAAGCCTTATATATGGCCTTAGTTCAAAGCAACTGCATGTTACGACCGCATTCGCATGATCATTTATCATGGGTAAATGGTCACAACCGAATATCAAATTATCGGGTACATACCAGTGCAAAATCGCCGTTTAGCAATACGGCAAAGCAACAATTTATTAAAAGCAATGTTCGGGACAAATGGAACACCCGGAACCATCGGGACAGGACGCCCGAGACGATCAACGCCAGAAATAGGTCGAGCAATGAGCATCAGTTTGTTTGTTTGTTTATTATGGTTTTAGGGCGCGTCGATTGCGGTGGTCATTTTGCGCCCATAACGTTGTACTGGTAAAAAGCGGGTATGTCAACAGAGAAGTGACGAACTAAAAACTCAGGCCATCGTCCGACCGCACCGCCCGAATACGCTTTGACGGACGGACAAAAGACATGCGTGCCCGCTCGCCGGCGACTGTTGATCAGCCAAAACTGTATCCAACAGGAATCACTTCCGCTCCTTTGGAAAGAGTGGCAAATCGTTTGGTCGATGAAAGCTGAACTATAATGGCAAGGAAGAGATGATAGAAGCAGTAGCGGCGGAACACCATCAATCAAGGGGGGAAGGGGCACTGCCGACTTGTGGTCCCATTCTTTCCATGCAAAGCCGCTAATGTTAAAATGCCAAAATCAAGGGGGGCACGGTGCCCCGGTGCCCCCCACCCCCGTTCCGCCGCCTATGGATAGAAGCCTACAAAACATGCTATGCTTGCTAGTTTCGGGCTGAGATCATACCGACTGCAACATGTTGAGGTCCCTCAGAATAGCTTGGCTGAAGAATGAGCGCCCTATAACAAAGTGTGCTCTTTGCCAAGGCCATATACCTAGGTACTAAACGAGCATTCTTCTTGAGCAAACAACACCTTTGTTATTGTCCGTAAATCTCTGTAAATAAAATAGTAAGCATTATCCGCTGGTGTGATGACACCGACAGGGGGCCGGACTCGGCGGCAGGGATCGGAAGCCGAGAGCGCGTCACGAATCGGCTTATCCTCAGTGGTGCCAAGCTGATTACCCATCCACCACTCCTCCCTCCTTCCTCCCCCCCCCCCCTACCACCCTCCGGGGCGGACGGACCGACGCAGGCGGCGCGGCAGACACCGCAGGCAGTCCGGCACACGGCGCACAGGGCGGCGCGGAGGTGGACACTGTACGGACGGTCCGGCAGCGCTGGACACGGGGAACAGAGCACCTGGCAACCCAGTTCAGTTAGAGAGCGGTGACAGCCATAGCGGATGCGAATCGGGCGACCAGCGAGCGTCTGCCACAGTGAGACCAGCGCAGTATGAGGGTCAGCCGGGAGGACTGGCAAGCAGCACGCCGCCTATGCCGCATCCTTACCGACTGGAGAGGACCCTATTTCGAAGTACTAGAATCTTTAGTAGCTTACACTCAATAATAACACCCAAAGCAGACATATAATCAAACATCACTGTTAAGCAGCTGCAGCTTGTCAGCCAGTAACCCTGCTATGCTGCCTATAGTTTCATAAATGAAGTTATCACTGCTCATAGAAAGGGTAGGGTATCAATGGTTTGTACCGCGCGATGAATGGATTTTGGGTAAAACCTGCGCCTTTGACTGAGCCGGAACAGGGCTAGCGCCGGTGGTAATTGGAATCAACGGGTAGCGATGGCAACAAAATACACCCGAGGTTCTAAAAGGTAAGCTGATATCCCCACTACGTAAAACAAAATGGAATTTATATGAAAATTGACAGGTGCGATGAGCGACGCAGTGGCAGGAATAACACGGCGTGAGCAGTGACAGGCACAACATGACGGGATCAGTGACGACAGGTGACAGGACATGGCGGAGCAATGACGGATTGGATACAGCGGGACATGGCGGGAGTGGAGGTCGACGGAACACGGAGCAATAGTGACAGGCGGGACATGACGAGAGAGATCAGCAACGACAGGTGACAGGACACGGCAGAGCAATGATGGATGGAACGCAGTGGGACATGACGGGAGTAGCAGCAGTTGGCAGGCTGAGACAGGGACACGTGACCGGTGAGGGACACTCAGCGCCACTCACGTCGAACTGCGCACTGGCCGGCGCCGGCGGCACGCGGTGCTGTGAGGCCGGCGATCGGCCGCCGCCCGCCGAGCCGTTGGCCGGGCCCCGCTGCCACATCCCGAGTGCTGTGTCCACAGAGTACCACTGTTACCGAGTCCCGCCGGCGCGGCACGCCGCCCTCAGGTGCCGGGCGCGCGCGCGCGGCCACCTCCGCCGCCGACACCGCACTGGCGCCGCCGGGCGCAGACGGCGCGTCGGCGCCCGTATCGACGTGCCGCGGCGGCGCCAACCGTGTGCCCGTCGCCGCGGAGGTGGCAGCCTGGCCGCCGCCGCCGCGGTGCACCCGGGGGCGACCCAGGCGGCGGGGCGGCGGTGACAAATTCTCCCGCGGGCCGCGGGAGCTGCGGGCCGGCCGGCCGGACATACGGTGGCCGCCGTTCAGGTCAGCACGGCGCCAGACGGCCCGGAGCGCACGGAGCGCGCGAACTGACGGCCAACGACATCGATCGAGACGCTCCCGGCCGGCGCGCTGACCCGGCCCGGCGACTGTACCCGGCTCCCCGCCGGCGGCGGCGGCGGGACGAGCACACCAGACGGCGCGGCGCCACCGGCCGGCCGCGGCCACTCCAGGGTCGCCGGCGGCGCTAAATGACAGCCCGCCACTACAGAGACACCGGGTGGGGCCAGAGGGCAGCCGCTGACAGCCACAGGACGTCTGGACCGGGCTACGGCAGCGTGGCAGATGTCATCTCTGCGATTAGCTGTCTCACATTGTAGGGAATAAATACTGTCATTAAAAGAAAAGAAAACCATCAGACGGCACCTGAATGGAGTGAATATACTTCCTCGAACCAACATGTATTAAGAGGATTTATTGAAGCCTCCAAAGGCTCTTCCTGAATGAAAAGGCTTCAGCAGGCTGTACCGGAGGCGTGCTTATATTCTTAAGCCGCGAAGGACTGATCCGCTTCTTTCAGCAGCGCCTAGCTTCAACCCATCTTTAGGGATTACTGCATGTATCATCGAATCCGCTCCGTGAAAGCCGTCTGTAACCCATACGCCAAGCGTCACGTCACGAGAGGGGATAAACCGTGTTGGACGCTGGTGGCGTCGGAGAACACATACCACTCCCCCGAGGAGTCCACTGGTTCCGAGCAAAAAGGAGGACCGGTGGCAAGGTGGGACAGCAAAATAACTGATCAAGGCATGTAAACGGCCCACTAGTCACGAACGGCAGACGGTCAACTGGCCCAAGCAGACGGAGACGGACGGATCACTGGACCGAGCCGGGCAGACGTCCACCGGCTAGTGGCTTCTGAAGACAAACGATTCAGTTGGCGGCGCGGCAACTCTCGGCCCGGTTCAACTGCCAGCCGATTACCAGTTTCCGTCGGTCTCTGCCCCCCGGGGAGCACTGAGGCGGTGCGCGGCCAATGTTCAGCGCGGGCCGCGCCCGATGCCGCCGCTTTGTCTCACTGTCGGCCGACTGCGGGCCGCCACCCGGGCCGCTGACGGGGCAGCCAACTGAGACCCGGCTCGACCCGGTGACCGGCACAGTGGCTGCCAAACGCCGCTGACCGAGATCAATGGCCGAATTCTCCAACTCGACCAGCCGAATCCCAAGGAGGGAGGTTAGCTGAGCATGACATTTCCTCAGACGATAGAGCGACAGACGTTACGCCACATCGTAACACGCGAACAATGCACCAATAAAGATGCGGGCAGCTAATAAAGTTCGAGAATTTAACGATGAACCGACAATCTTGCTGGCAATCTCACCGCGCTAATTTGGTAAACATAACCTGATACGGAGCATTCGATTACTAGCGCGCGCGCTGTCTTGCAGCTGAACAGACCGAATTGCTGCTTCGTTCATTGTAAGTGGTGTCCATCGTAAAGACCATTCCATCACAACAGAACGTCCATCCACACCGTGCCGCCGCGCCACCTCAGTCCGCCTGACCACTGACCAGTCAGTGGATGCTGTGCCGCCGCACAGCGCTGTCGGCCGGTGCAGCATACCAGCGCAGGCGGCCCGCTGGCCGAGTCCAGTTGCGCCGCCGCGTTGTCGGCGGCTCTGAGTGCGTTACCACGGTCCAGGACTGCCCTCGGCGACCATTGCTCATTCCCCATTACCCGGGTGGCACGTCGTCAGCGGACGCCATTCCTTCACAGCCGGCGGGAGCGCGGCAATGTCCGCGCCGATCGCCCGGGGTGCGGCAGCTCTCCCTCGGGACGGAGGCAAATCAGCAGCCGATATTGCCGCGGCCGTGGGATGGAACACGGGTAAACTAAGGACCACACCGGAAGGGCGGCCGGCGGTGGACAGGGTCTAAGACGTTCAAACCTATCGGGGTGGTGGTAAGGACCGCTGACGTCCACATAACACGTAACCGAGTAAAGGCACCGGGTTTTACGCATGGCTAAAGGGCAGGATATTGGTGTGTAAAGAGGACAGAAGACCTGAGGCCAGTTTTACCAACAGAAAAATAGCCCCCTGCCGGGATTTTTTGCTTAAGGACCGCGGTCATTAGCCGAAAAATTCCGGCAGGCGGCTATATTTCTGTTGGTAAAACTGGCCTCTGATTCAGTTGGATGTCGCGACTACAGGCGCGATACTGGGAACATCAGCAGCACAGAAGGCCAGATGGCACAGTGCGACACGGGCAGACCTCGGACCTCGTACGGCGGAGAGAGAGGGCGGATATTTGCACTACCTCTCCCTGGGTCTCTAATCGATACCCACCGCTACCCATTGTACCAGGTAAATACGGCACTGACGGCCTCTGCGCACAATGGTCCTCCATTGTTCCCTGTCCGAGCGACCCCAGAACCAGCCCCAAACGCTCACAAAACCGTCGCACAACTTCTGAACGGCGCAGGGCCTACATCAGTCAGTACTCAGTACCTGGCCGACACCAAGCCGGTTCCAGTTCGGGTTGCGGGCGGGGCAAATGTCATCGGTAATCACGACCTAGTAGTTGCAGAAGTGTGACGTGATCTTTGAGAAAGTGAGCAAGCGAATGCACGAGAAGTAAACTAGACTGAGATGCTGCAGGAGAGAGAGAGAGAGAGAGAGAGAGAGAGAGAGAGAGAGAGAGAGAGAGAGAGAGAGAAAGAGAGAGAGAGGGGGGGAGAGAGAAAGGAAAAGGAGGGAGGGAGCACGGATAAAGATCGAAGTAAATTATATAATGGAGGTTTCAAATTACCCTTGGAAATAGTAATCATGCCACTATAATCACATCAGCAGCTAACGCGCTAAGCCTTTGTGCGCGTCCGACCACGATTCGGCCCACATTAGGCAGCGGGCAGTGGGCAGCCGGCACCGCGCTGGCTTCCCGATTAACGCCCAGCCCTCGCAATCCCCGATATATAGATATCGCGATTCTGTCTGCCGCTGGCGCCGAGAGCGGCCCGGAACGACTCATCCGGATTCGGCGTCCGCGCCGAACGGACGGCAATAAGGGCGGTCGGACGAGCGGGAGGCACGGCGGACGGGACGTCAGCACACAGTAGACACAGACAGAGCCAGCGGGACGGGACGCCGGCACACATAGACGGGAGCCTGGAGGGACGCACTGTTAGCACATATTGGAGAGCCGGGGGACGGGCCACCAGCAGACAGACAGAGCCGGCAGAGCGGACCACCAGCACACATGGATGGAGACGGCCCGGCGGATCAACACACGAGGGAGAGCCGACGGGATGGGCCGTCAGCACACATGGACAGAGCAGTCAGCAGAGACAGACGAGAGCCGGTAGAACAGACCGCCAGACGGACGGTGCTCGAAACCTGATGGATGGTCTGTCAGTTATACATACAGTCAGAACTCAGACGGAGGCAGAAGACAGACCGGGAGAGGATCATTCCAAACACGACAAACCAAACGCAGGGAAGGCCGAGGAATTCATCTGGAAATGCCCGAGCGTCTGGCTCTCATTCAAACAAGCGATTGATATCCACTGATGCGAAGTATATTGTCCAAACTCATCGAATCTGCCCAAACTCCGAACTATAAACTGGGAGATAAAGGGCATGCTGCTACAGACCACCAATTAAACCTTTCTGTTGCAATTAAGGAACTTCATTTGTTAACCCGCGCCCCACTGGGGTCTGCGTATAACACGCCCTACTGGGGGGGGGGGCTATTCATAGCCCCCCCCCCCCCTCCTAACTCCAAAACTACTGGGCCGATCGTCAAAATTCAAACGGCGTCTGATAGCCCCGGAAAAACTGTCGAGCAAAACCTAATTTCATTGACCTCGAGGTCACCGATGACGTCACAGGTCAGGTCAAAGTAAAAATTATTAGCATTTTGGCTTCTTCACGTTTTGGGCTCTGGCCGCCGTCTTACAAGTCAGATCAGGCTCATTTTTGGTTCACACACTCGTGAACAGATGCTCTAGATACTCTGAGGGTACCAAACTTGAACTTTGATTTTCAGGTCAAGGTCAGGTCATCACAGGTCACGAAAATATTATATCATCCGTCGGTCACGTGACACATGTTTTATGGTCCATTTAGGCCACACATTTCGAATCTGATGTCGTCTGTGTCATTCGAGGTCATTTTGAGTCAAATTTAGCTTAGGTCAGGTCACTTTCAGGTCAAAAAAGGTCAAATTTTGAAGTTAAAATTTTTCAACAAAAAAGGTGTCTATTGGATGCAGTTTGAGCTCAGGAACACGATGGTGCTATTTATATTGGCGTACGATGTCAAATTCGTTCTGAAAAATTGATTTGAAAAATTAATAATTGTTAATTTTTTGCAAAAATGCGTATAACTTGGCCATTTTTGAAGATATTTAGCTAAAACTTGCTAGAGTTAGTCATAATAATGCGTTTTATCACATATATTCCGTTTTTTTCGAATAGTCAAAAAAAAATTGAAAAAATGTAAAAATATAAATTTTGAATTTTATTATATGAAATTTTCGAAATTTTCAAAATTTCGAAAATCCGAGATAGCAGTTTGATAGCGCAGTCTATTCTGAGTCCTCTCATGCAAAGAAATTGGATCTAGCTTAAAAACTGAGCTCTTGGGAGCGATTGCCGTGGTTCAATGTTTTGCGTCGAAATCGGCCGAACATGACGTCACTCTGACGTCATTTCCAGCCGATCTATGGTAGGTACGAAGTTCAAATTTTGACACAAGGTGTCAAATTGATGCAGCCGAAGGTACTGAAAGTTTGGCGTCGATACGTCAAGCGGTTTGGAAGTTATTGCAGAAAAACGGGAGGGGGGCTATAAATAGCCCCCCCCCCCCAGTGGGGCGCGGGTTAATTCCACTTTGAAAGCAGCCTAAAATACGAAAGAGTGCAGATTTATTATGCAAACTCTCGGCGAAAGAATTTGGTTAATTCATGAGGGCTTGGGATTCGCATCTAATTGGAAAAGATCCGCAGCATTTTATCGCAGACCACACCACAGGGAGCCGGCGCGACCCACACGAGCCTGGTGCAGCCTAGATGTCTGGCCCGCTGAGGACTCATCAGACAGCATTGTAAGACCACACCAAATGGGTACGAGAAAACCATTTCGGGGTAAGGACAGAAGCCCACCCACCGGGGCCGCCTGCCGTCCTGTCCCCGCTGGACCGCGCGTGCCACGAGGCAGCGACTGCGGCTGTGCCGAGCAGCAGGTGTTGTGTACTGAGTGACGGTCCAGACCGCTCCCCAGCCGATCATAAACTGGCGGTCGACGCCGCCGACTGCGCACAGCAGACCCGTGGAGCGGCGCACCATCCCGTCCCTCACTGTCAGTCCCTACTCGGAGTGAACAGCCACATCAAGAGCCGCGGAGCTGCCGAGAATGGCAGTGTCGGTCGGTGGCGCGCGGGCGGGGTGGGAGGCCGCCCAGAGCGCGCCGGCGGACCAGACAGCGCGACTCCTCTACCCGAGTCGGCGCCTCTCGCCCAGGCGAGGAGCGCTCTACCGTGACCGGCCCACCGGTCGCCGCCGCTGGAAGTTATGGTGCGCCAAAGCGAGGCTGACAGCCGTGGCAGGGGGCAGCCGGCCGCAACAGACAGCCAACCGGGGTCCCACGACATTTCACGGAAGTGCCAGCCAGCCGCCGCAGAGGGAAATAAACTAGCTGCAAGGCTGCCTGTTATAAGGGCGTATAGCCAGTAGAAATGAGCATTAATTTTAGAAACTTACGAGAAAGAAAGAAATATATCTAGGAATAAACATGACGGTAGAGAAGTGCAGAGGAGGGCTCGATGGTGGCGGGACTAAAAAAATGAGTGAAACAACAGTTCGGGACAATGGGGCACTTGATACGGCTCCTCTTAAGCATCCTTATACACGACGCCTTCAGACTCGAGTCGGCTGACTTGGGTTGGGAGCTACCATAGAAATAAAGGGAGCTACCCACTCCCGCCATCCGGTACAGGAAAACGGTACGCGCCCGTCGCTGCCGTCCGCCGGCCGTCTCGGCTTTCACTGGCCGGGTAGGCTGTGCCGCAGTACAGCCGAGCTCGGCGGCACAGTGGAACACTCGCCGCGGCATCACACACAGCACGGGACGGACGGCACGGGACGACAGAGCAAACAGAGCAGATAGTGTGCTGTTCTGGAGGGCGGGCGGATGGGTAGATCGCAAGCTCCACTCCTTCGCAGGAAGTTGGCCAGTTTGCTATCCTGTAAAAGTTTCGGTAGAAACAAAGAATCGCTCAAAACAGCGAGCGGCTCACCTTGTGTTTGGAGACGACCCGCTCGACGTCGGCGGCGTCGCCGATAATCACCGGTTTGTCGCACATCCGTGTAATGAGCGTCAGCCAGTCCTTGATCTGTGAGAAATCGGGTGGCAGAGTGAGAGTTAGCCAACAGATGAGCCAGGCTACGAGGGGGTGCGAGGGGGCAGGACAGCGGCTTCAGCCAGTACTGACATCTACAGGGGACAACAACCGACAGTGGACGATATATCCCCAGATAATACAACCAGTAAAACGCCTTTTGGGCGACGGACGAGCGAGCGAGATAGTGAGCCGCCCTGCACGTGCGGAAGGGTGAGATGGTACTTCCAACGGGCCTGTGCAAAGCACCCTTCTAACCGGTCGCTAGCGGTGTGCCAAATTTGAACGCAATCGGCCCAGCCGTTCCTGAGATCTGGAAGCGGCATTCTGCACGTGCGCACGTGCAAACGGGGTCCAAACTTACTTTTGCACGGCACCCTACTAACTGGTCCCCAACCGTGTACCAAATTTGAGCGCAATCGGCCCAGCCGTTCTCGAGATCTGGAAGCGCCCCCTGCACGTGCGCACGTGCAGTAGCACCCTGACCGCAACACATGGGAATGCATTGCCTGGTTGGTGCCTACCTGTATGCCAAGTTTCAGCGAAATCGCCACAGTAATTACCGAGTTATTGAAATGGGAACAAATTTGGCACCTCTTCTTTTTGCATTTTGCACGTGCAGTGGGGGTCACTCACATAGATCAAGAGTATCCGACCTTTGGTAGAAGGGATGCAGCTACCCTACACAAATTACCGCAAGGCAATCGCCCAAGCGGCTGCTGAGATATGGGCTTCTCAAAATCACTACTTTTGCAAAACAGCTTGAACACCCTTGACTTTTCACGTGGCACGTGCCACGACGGTCACTGAGATGTATCAAAAGTAGTCAATTACGGGGTAGAGGGGATGGGGCTACCCAGCAAAAAAGACCGCAGGCCAATCGGTCCAGCGGTTGCTGAGATATAAGCCTCTCAAAAGCGTTACAGGCCGGGCCGGGCCGGGCCGGGCCGGGCCGCTCATACTGAGATTTTTCCGTTATATTGAAAAGACTCGCTTCGCTCGCTGCGCTCGCTCGCTCGTAATAAGTTAAAACCGCCGCCAAATTAACCACTTCATTATCCATCGCAAAACAGCATTAGTTCCAGGTCAAGTCGTACGGCCAGCCTGAGCCCTCTCCCGTCTCAAAGCCTTGGGGCGGGAGGGGGCTCCCGGCTCCAGCGGAAACCACCGGTCGGCCTCAGTGCCGGGAGGTGGCAGCACGACCGACACGAGTCCGGTCGGACCCGTGTAAGGGCGGCCTAGCTTGACTTAACTCTTTCCTTAACTCAACACTTGGTTCCGAGGAAGGGCGCTGAGCTAGCAGATACGTATAAGTGGGACTGGACAGGACCGGTAAGGTCCCCTCCTCCTGATGTTTACCCACTCTCTATTCGCTCTGATATAAACAAGTAGCCTAGTATGATGGTTGGATTTCAGGGCGTGCGGACTGCGTCTCCGCTGGCTCTCACCTGGCTGATGCTCTTGTCGAGACTGGTGACCAGCGCTGCCGGCGCCACGGTGCGGTGTTTGGTCAGCGGCGACGGGAAGCTGGGGGGCTGAGAGCCGGCCCGGGATCCGTCCGGAGAGGTAGGCGACGGCGACGGGTCGGCGGACGGCGACGGTGCCGCCAAGCCCACTGAAACACGGGCCAACTCAGTCAGAGAAGGGAGTGTCAGACGACGGTAAAACAAAGGCCACAACGGACAGCACCGCAGTCACTGACTGAGGCATGGGTCACCGGTCACACGTGTGACTGAGCCAAGACTCCCTGTTTACAGGGGCGATTCGAAGACACGGTCACAGCAGACGACAGTGCAAGACGGGTCATTGGTTAGAGGTGACAGTGCAGTGCGGGTCACAGGTAAGTGTATGGCAATAAAGACCAGACAGTCAGTGTCCAGTGAAGACTTAAGCCCTGAAATACGTCGTCGGTCAGTTTCGTAAACCGTCACAGTATCACGGACAGAGATCGGCGATCGTTCAGCACTACATAAATGGTAGTCACGTAAGGCTATCAATGATCCTTGTTAGCGCACACAGTTCATGCAATCGTAGTGGACGCGGATACAGTGGATGCAGTGGACCTGCAAAGTGGATGATAATCAGAATGACACGTGTTTTAAAAAGTATGTAGGTACGCGCCGCAGCTTTGTAGAACCACTTCTAAAGCCATTTGTATGCTAAAAATACCAAGCATGGAGCAAATGAATGTCAACGAATGGAACTTGGTCTGCAGCTTCCAAAAGTCAGGTCATTCTGAGATAATTAATTTGTGCTACAGACTGAGAACGAGAACAAAGCAATTTCCTTTTCTCATACGTAATATGGTCAAATGATATGATGAACCGCCAAACGAACGTTGGAAAGACACGTCAGGAGCTTGGCGTCACATCACAGAAACGCACCCCATCACAAGAGCGTCATTTGAATGGAACGAAGTGGTGCACTGGACGACATCAGTAAGACAATAGACATTTCAACATAACTTGCGTCTTAGCGGCGCTTGGAGCAGCAGTTACGCTAGTTGGACCGTCAGTCGCCGGCGATCCAATGGTGTTTCCATCAGGACAGCCGGCGCCGGCCGTGCCAATGACGTCATCACCCTTCCGCTCGGAGTCCAATAAGCCTGGCAATGATCACCGCCCGTATCGGGGCAGGCAAATCTCCGAATTATTGGCCAGCCGATCCCGACTGCCCAAGCTGGGAGCAGAGGTGTCGGCCGGTCGCACAGGAACAGATAACCAAACCACCCAGCAGTAGCCGGGGGTAACGGCGGCGCCAGGTCACACTGTCACAGAGCGGGGCGATGGCAGGCGGATCCGCTAACGGTAACATGACCCGACTCGACCTGACGCGTTGACTCATGGCAGACTATCAGCGGGAATAGACTATCAACCATCATCGTTCCCACACAAAGCACAACCGTTCCTCGAAGAGATATTGACATTGTCCCTGGGGCTACATCCTGCATAAGGAACGAATCCTGCCGGACCCTGGAAAGACTCATCAGATCACGGTAGTGACTCAAGCGAGACCCTAGTCCAACTCCTCTTCACCGTGTCCTCGTTGTGCCCACTCCGTCGAACCTTCAAATTGTCTCCACGATGTCCTACCCCCTTCCCCGCCGTACCCCCACCGGTCTGTCGCCGCCGCCGCCGGCCGACCGTGTCGGAGCCGGTGAACGAGGCCGACACCGGCGTCAGAGCAGGCATAGCGCCACGTCGCACGCCGCAAAGCCGATTACGACTGATTGGTAGCGTCAGCTCTCCTCCCGCCCCCAGTGGCTGACGCCGGCCAGCCGCCAGGAGTGAGAAGGGCCCACTGTGCGGGCGTCGGTCAGTCGACAGCGTGAGGCACACTGCACAAACCACCGTGTTTTCGCGGCGACAACACGGTGTGGCCGAGGGGCGACGAGTGGGGCCCTCACGTCACCGGGAGGGGAGGTGAGACGGAAGCCGGTGGGGCTTCGCTCGGTCCCGCAGCGCCAGCTCAGCGGGCTCTCCGCTGTCCGTGCTGTTGCTCTCACTGGCCCTGTTCCACGGACCTAGGGTGACCGTTCGACAAAGGTAGGGCGGAATGAAGGAGCATCGACCGTGTCACGAACGGACCGTGTTTTACGATCGACCCCGAGGACCGCTGATGTGTGAGGTGACGGTCACGACACCCGTGTCCGGTGGCCGCCGGGCAGCACCGCACAGGCACTGGCCCGCTGCCAGTCCAGGAGCCCATCCCCTCCCTCCTCCGGGACAGGTGCTAACACTCCGTGCACGCCCGCCAATGAACCCAGCTGGGGTCTGTAAATGGACACTGAAACACCCCACCTGGAACAAAGATCCGTGTTATCTCAAACAATGATCCCAGACATATCAAAGCGATTCTAGCATGCCGACCGGAAAGTTAATCCGGCGACAGCGTTGCATTTCCGGCTTGATATTGCGCAAAGCTTAAGCCCAATATTTTCGTTCCTAACGGTACAGAACCAATATCAACGACAGGATAATTCGACCGACTTTGATCTCGGCACAGCAAAACAAGCAATTGCTATATTTATATACTTTAAAAATAGTAAGTATCGCTACAACAATGGCATGAGAATCACAGCAAACTCTGCCGAGATTACAATGGGAAATGCTATGGTTACATTAATTTGGTACCAAAACGAGTTGTGTGAAACTTGCAGGACCAGTATCAATGAATTATACACAAAACATGATTTACAATTCATGTAAGAAAGCATGACTTAGTAAAAATAACTGTTCCAGTCTGTTAGTAGCAAGCATTCTGGACGACAAAATCCAACACACAAAATTCGTAAAATGCACTGCTGACCAGACGGACAGGGATAATAGCCCGCTGACTGAGCTGAGCCGAAGTTCAGGCGGGTGAGCACGGTTAGTGACGATCACGACAAGGTTAGGAGCTGCAGGCCACGCCTGCCCCGCTGGTCGCACCCGGGCTGGACGGCCCGTCCCGGCCGCCGGCCGGTGAGTCGGCGTGTCGGTGGTGTCTCCGCGCTGCGTGGTTGCGCCGCGGGCTCCTGCCGGCGCCGTGGCTGCTGACGGAGCAGGCGGAGCCGCGCCGGCCGCCCGGCTCCGGCGGCGCCAGGCAGTGCGAGCCGCGCCGGCCGCGCCGCGCCGACTCGGGACACAGTCGGCTGCCGTAGGAGGCAGCCGGCGCGTCCTCCGGGCCGTCGCCGTCGTCCGCGCCGCCCCCGTACCCGATGTCGATGTAGCACGGCTGGACGGAGCGGCGCCGCGGCCGCTGCTCGGGGGTGGGCTCCGGCGCGCCGCCCGCCACCGACCGCCGGCCGCGCTCCCTCCCCTTCTTCACCACCTTGTAGAACAGAAACATGGCAACCGCCGAGGCAGCCTACACCTCACTCGTCCCCAAGGGGCGGCGCCCGACAGGCACCTTCTGGCCGCGCCTGCCCGGACCGTCAGTCCCACTCCCACCGGCTGATCTCCACCTGCCTTGTCTCCCGGGACTGTCCGTCTGGCTGGGTCACACACAGGGCACGGCACGGTGCTTACTCTCGGCGGGTCGGCACAGGCCGTCACTGGTGCCGGCCGGGCCCGATCTCCGCGGACGGCCGCCGCCAGCTGCCGCTCTCCATCAGACCGTCGGCCGCGCTGGCAAACACCGAGTCACGCCTCACTTACACGCCAGCTCCGCCCCGGCAGACGGCACCGTGCAGCGCACTCAGCACCACTGGAAAATCACAACGCTCAGCTCCGTCAGCGCCCTTCGAAAACCACAGTGCGCCGTTCGAAAACTGCAGGGTTCCCTCAGCACCATCCACAGGCAGCACGGGACCCTCAGTTTTATCGGCAAACGGCATTGCACAGCTCCTTCCGAAATATCGCAGCGGAAAATTTCACTTCATAACTCCTTCAGCACCGATGGAAAATCACCCTCAGCGCCGTCGGTAGACCACTCGAGTGTAGGCACCGCATGCCCCACCACTCCCTCAGAGCACCGCGGGCAACCCAATCATCCCACTCGGCATCTCTGGCACACCACGCCGCTCGGCTCCGTCACCACTGCTCCAGTCGTGCACCGGTGGAGTCGGCTACTGAACACGGGGTTTTTCACCGCCACCACCAGCCTCCGCCTCCTTCTCCGGCGGCGGCGGCGCGCACAGTGATCGCCGTCGCTGCCGGCCGCGTTTAGCTTGGCAGCCGGGGGCGGAGACGTCCGCCGCACCGGCACTGGAAAGACCGAGTCACCTGGACACTGCCGTCCGCCCACCGGGCCTTATGGGAATACGGCTGCCCACGAGCAGAGTCAGGCAGAGCTATGCCTCTGCAGAGGCCTGGTGTGGGAGCGTTGCTACGACTGACGCTGTCAATCAGAGCCCGGACAGAACATGGACTGGCTGAGAGATTGGTGTGACCCAGAGTGACTTCCCCGGTGGTCGCCGTGTGCACTGAATAGATGACCTGACCTCAGACGAACTGACCACCTCCCGCGATTAGCGAAAGTAAACAAACATTTGCCAAATAAACAGCGGCCTTGAGTGAGTCGTGTCGCACGCGCTGCCAACTCGGGCCGGAAGAGGGACGGTGCCGGCTGCGGCGTCTCCTCGGCGGCCGAGACGTGTCGGCGGCCGTCGGCTGGCACTCGCTCCGGGTCGTCATAATGGGGGGCACCTGCTGCTCAGGGTATGACGGGCCGAGAGGTGGCAGACAGACAGACGGCCACTAACGGTCACCTGTCGCCACAGCTCTGAGGACAGAGTAGGCGGACCGAGGGTGGCAGACGGATATACGACCAGTAGCAGTCACCATGGTAAAACAGACACTCCGGAGGCTTGGACAAAGTTGACAAAGTAGTAGATGGACAAAGTTGCGGTTGCCAGTTGTTCCGTGCTCTAAACAAATCTGAGGGTGAAAGGGTGGCAGCTGCGGTCGCTCGGTGCCAGAGACTCCTACCAGCCCCATAAAGACGGCGTTATCGTCTCATAAAACCCCCGCCGATGGGATAGAAATAACGACGTCGGCGCCGCGGAACACCGTCGGGCACGAACCGACCCAAGTACTTTGATGATGATCCCATCAATTAGTGTTCTTCGTGCAGCTGACCCAACCACGCCACCGCCCACCGGCTGTTTGTGAACTATTCAGTCTGAAAATAGCTACTGCTATGTTTATCTGCACAGCAAACAACACACAGACGGGTGTAACTGCTAACAACAAGGTTACCTTCTTCTAACAGATTATTGTCGGCTGGACAGACCGACAGACGGGCAGAAGGACGGACGGGAACCACCCGTGTCGGTTGGTCTTTTCGTCATGCTGACGAGCGGGCTCGCCGGCTGTTAGTGTCACTCGGCACACACGTTAGCATCAGCCATCACTCGTCGCCGTCGCACGTGGCACGTGGCGGCACTCACGTGGCCCGGTGCGCAGCAGTTTGGACACGTATGAGCGCGGCTCCACGTGCACGATGGCAGCGGTGACGCGTTTCAGCGCTGCCGCCGCGGCAGCGAGACAGTCAGAGGGGGCGGAAGCGGTACACAGTGCAGTGAGCAGTCATAGGCGCGCGGCTCCGTATGGTACAATTGGCACAAAATACAGCATGGTACAAGATATAGCGAGAGGCAGGGAACGAGTATAAAACACAGGAGGCATGGATAGAAGGAGGCACAAACCGTATGGCACAGAAAATAGCGGGTGGCCGGAATGGAGGACAGAACATATATGGTACATAACATAGCTCATGGGAGGAACACAATAGCAGACACCCAGCAGATTATACAGCGGGCGGCCGGTCTCTTGTGGTACAGAGCACAGCGGGTAGCGACGACAGACACAAAAACAATGTCAGTCAGTCGCAGCCGGCTGACGCCATCTCCAAGGTCGCGCTCTTCAGAAAGGAGAGGAAAGGAGGCAGCTGCGGCGGTGGTGACAGCTCGGAGAGGCGCCATGGCGACCGGCGACTCTCAGGGACGGAGTGCCCGAGTTGACTCTGAACCGACCTTCACTCACATACTCCGCCTCCCTGACAGGCTCACAAAAACACCGTTCAATCCCCGCAGCCAACCCAAACACTGGCACACACTGATCAATGGTGTGATAACGGGCCGTTCAATTACCTGTCCGCTACACATTCACAGAGAACGTGACCAGCTGAACGCCCATATAAAACATGACGCATCGCCCCACAAAGCAATACCGATTTCGTACTGGGCAGTTCTAGGCTTTAGCAGCGCCTAAATTAGAAGCCAGCAGGGCAGTTTGCGCAGACGGTGTTGGGTAAGACCCCGGGGAAAGTTCAGCCAGTGGCCCCGGGGATAGTACAGCTAGTGACCCTGAAGATAATTCAGCCCCTTGCCGCGCGCCGGGGGCACAGCTAACCGTGTCTATAATCAGTCCTGGCCGAGGGTGGCCGGGGCAACGCGGGTCCACCGAGGCCCGTGACGCGGGGCGCGGTACTACTGCAGCAGGGTTGTCGCAGCAGTGCCGCACTACATGCCCCCTCAGCGCGCATTGCACATGGCTGGATCAGCCAAGGCGTTACGCTCAGCCAAACCGACCGCTAATGGCTACACATGAATGATACGAGCAACGCATGTACTATGACGGGGCCCAACCGACAACATCATACGACGAATAACGGTTTTACAAAGTACGCGCTATGGCGACTTAGCGCTAACATCAACAAATCAGCATACCTGTCCTGTAAACAGTGACCCCGTTTCCATGGGCATCACATCAATAAGGGCGTGTATAAATGCTATAGTTAGCTACTAATTACCATGGTAACTGTTTCCCCGTGACCATTGACAAATATTCCCCGATGTCACTATTGGGCTTCCTAGCATCGCGGCCTACCATGCTGCCGCCGTTTGCCTGTCGTGTCGGCGGCCGGTCCTGAGCGGATCATTAATCATATCCCATTCTTACCCAGACAGCACGTGCCTGTGTGCCAACTGGAGCGGCCACGGGGCCCGGCGGCTCGTCTGGACCACACACGATAGCTCAGTGGACCTGATGGACCATGTTAACACATAGTAACGCCATGGACCAACTAGAGTCTGAACCACACACAGTCGGTTCAAGGACCAAACGAACCAAAAGACCATGGTGTGGCTGGTCCACACACAGTAGACTAATGGGTCACCAGTACGGCTTACAATAGGTCACGACAGGCGCAGCGCTCGTTCATCCTATAGAGCCGCGCTGGGCTGACCAGGTAGCTCGTAACCCGCGGACGTGCGCTCTGGCCCCTCCCCCTGACCCGGGCCACTACGAGTTATGGTCTCCAACGTGCCGGATCGGCCCGACGAGTACCACGGCCGCGGCGTGGTTACTGATGATCGCAGGAATGGGTCGAATGAAACGACCGATACTCGCTACAGTCAGAGAGTTGAGAGGACACGACACGGGACTGGTCACTCACCCTCCCTGATTGAGGTCGGGTGAAACAGAGTGGATTCCACACAGGCCTGGTCCTTATCATTATTGACTGACACTTGGTCATTGAGAGGACACAACTCAGGTGTTTTTATTCACTGTTCTTGAATGACTCCTGACTGAGTATAGGGAAGCCACTCGGGTCGGATCACTCACCGTTTTTGATGGACGTCCGGTCGACGCGTCGGACCGGGGCGGCGGCGGCCGGCGAGGCGGGGGAGGTGGGAACGGCCGACGGCGTCACCGTCACCTGGCGGCCCTCGGACACCTCCTGCAGCTGACGCCACGACGCCTGCACGCCGTCCACGCGGCTCTGGAAATAGGGGGAGGCGAGTTTAGTGTGGGAATATGGGAGCTGGCCAGTCAGTGAGGGAAACAATCGGTCAGACACAGTGCTCCATCTCATGAGACGAGCTCAGCCAGTCAGTACGCACCCAACCCAATACCCATTACCCATCCTAGCATCGCTCTAAATCATCCAATGGCCTAATCCCACGGCAATTTCAATCAGCGGCCGGCGCTGTCCCTCCACGGAACACGGCCCCAGTGACCACTGCCGTCCGCAGCCGGGGCTGTAAAATCCGCTACAGAATCGGATTACAACGTCCCCATTATCCCACACCAGTGGTATAGCAGACCACTGAACAGAGCTCGACATCCTACAGGTTCCCGATGATTGAAAATAAATCAGAAAACTCGGTGGAGCGTGTTTAGCACGCCGACTGCATACCGCTCCACGATTTACGAGCTTCTGCACTTTACTTTGGCACCGAGTGAATGTTGGGGACATCAGTCACCCCCGAATGGTCCTTTCTGACTGGGATTGGCCATTATCCCGTGCCACCGAGAAGGCAGCTTTCAGCGCCTTGCGGCGAGCACAACATAAACAGGACGGTGGTCGACCGAATGGGCACGGCTCGGGGACGGGTGGCGGAACAGTTCAGCTCGGTCATATCTGACCGCACAGTTCAGGGCAAGCCTGACGGGATCGATACTACACAGGGTCTCTGAAGGGCGGTACATTTCAGGGCCAGTTTGAAAAAAAAAAACAAGTCGGTTTCCGAAACGAATATCTCGGCACAGCAGCCGCGTCAGCCAACGACTCCATGCGCTTCTATAACGGAGACATTCATAAATATGTAGGTATGCCATACGAATCAACACCGTCACAATACCCCTACGGTGCTTTCGTCTGTCGCACTATTTACCGCTGCACCCGAATGGTAAATAGGTAGGCCTCTCTTCATGTTTATGTTCTCCCCGTATCTGAGCTGGACGTCCTATCTATGAACCCCTGTCCCTCTAGTCCTGAGCCCATTGTCGCTGTATCTGTCCCTGTATGTCTTTAGAACTCCCCTCTCTCTGACCCCCTGTCCCTGTCTCTTACCTGGACGTCCTGGGCCACGGGCAGTCCGGCGGCGGCACACGACTCCTTCAGTCGCTCAAACTGATCCACCACCGAGCGCCACTCCTGCTGCTTTTCGCCCAGGTCAGCGGCCAGCAGCTGCGGGCACCGCGGAGAAATACGGTGTCACTGACTGACGCCTATACACGCTGATACTGACACATTGACACAGGGTATCTGATACTGACACACACCCATGTCGATGTCCAGCAGCCACGGACAACCGGCCGAGACGCGACAGGGCCACCGACGGGCGGTACTGACTGGCACACTTTGGCACATACCGACACACACTGACTCACTACGGCACTGACCCTAGCTGCAAAACTGACCTGCCAATTCTCGGTCCGCCGCTCCTGGTTCCACTCCGCCACGCCGTTCAGTCGCCGCTGTGACAATACCCACTGTGTAACTGACCCCCTGTGATACTGACCCCCTGCGACACTGACCTGCCGCTGCTCGGTGCGCCGCTCTGGGTCCCACTCTGCCACCCCGTTCAGTCGCCGCTGAGCCCAGTCGCCGAGCGCCGTCAGAGCCTGGTACAGCTTCTGGACGGCCGAGAGCTGCTGCTGCAGCCGCGTGCAGTGGCCCGGCAGCACAGAGCCCACCTGAAGCCGGAGGACGCAGCGGTCAGAGACGGGTCACCATAGGTGAAGGGCAGATCACCGGGGCATACAGGTAGGCCACAGGCGACAATATGGTTACAACGTGCACATTGCACAATGCACAGGTAAGTTACTAAATATCACGGCGGGTAACAAAAGATCACGGCAGGTCATTACAAGTCACTGGTCACCGGCGGCTTACACGCATACCCGACGGACGTAGCACTGTAAGCAATCTCGAATCACCGGGATGAGTGGATCGACCGGCGGTACTGACCTGTTCCAGACCGGCGGAGATTTTCTGAAGCTCGGCCAGCGGCCGGTACTTGCGCTCCGGCCAGGACAGCTTGTTGGCCAAGGTTTTCTTGTCGGGCAGCTCCGCCATGCGGGACTGTAATCGGGAGGGGAGGGGTCAGAGTGGACGATAGACGGCCGACATCGCGCTCCAGACGGCGCCGACACGAGGCAACAAACTTCAAACACAACAGAAACTCGGCCCGTGACTCGGCATTGTAATGGGAATGAAGACCGTACATCCTCCTCGAAATTAAATAGAAAAAGGAACGATATCCTCCCCTGGCCTCGGTAGCTCATAGTCATATCTGACGCCGAGAGAAGCTGAGCTTTGCAATAACTATATAACTGCATGGCACCCGGCGGCGAAACTCATCGCAGCCTCAGATAGCCAAAGGCGGCTCTATACAATACGTAAATTTGTCCCCGCGCCCATACAGTTCATCGCCCGGACTCCTCTCCATTCCGGTTTCGACGGACGTGGCGCTACATGAACCCACACTCCTATCCCCACTCCAGCCCTCATGCGCCCACCCGTTAATGCGACAGCCGGTCCCCACCCCTCAGGCACCGGCCCTGACTCCCCTCCCCCTCCCCCTCCTTCACGCCCAGCCCGCCCGGTCTGCCGCCGTCGGCTGCGATCGTCGCCGTCTGGCCCGACTCGGCGAATAATGCCGGCGGCGGCGGCGGCGTCACACTCAATGGGCGACTATTTCCGGACCGGACCGGCCCGGACCGACTCGACCGCTGACCGGGCGGCGCACCGAGACGCCGGGCCGCCGGAAAACAGTCGGCGCTAGGAATAAAACACGGCGCGCCTACTCAGTGACGGCCGGTTTGTCAGAATTTTAAAGATAGCCGTCACGGCTGCAATGTCTCTCCCCTCCCCACTCACAAACACACATGGTGAAGTGAGAGTGAAAGCCTCGCCACCTCACGAAGCGCCACCGTACCTGTGCCATGCTGTTGTTGACAATCAGCGCGCCCTCGTCACTGGGGTTGATCTGCTGTTGTGTCAGCGCCAGCACCGACTCGATCCAGCTCAGCAGCGCCGCCGTCTGCGTGTGCGCCTCCTGTTCGTCCTCCATTGTGGAGATTCTGTCGGGAAAGGTCGTCATGGGTCAATGAGTGACATATCGTGAGGATTCTACCGGAGAGAAAGGTCAGCACAAGTCACTGACCTTCGCACTTTGGTCATTCACTGTGGAGATTCTGAAGGAGACAGGATGGCATGGATCACACTAGGCTGTCTTGTCTTTTTATGTAGAGGTTTTTCTGGACTCCGAACATGGTTTAAAAATCGGAAGATTGCGGAATACGATCTGTACTCTGAAGTTCTGAGCACGGATGGACTCGGGGCGGCGGGACACCGGGCACACCAGGGAACATTGGAGTGCTGCTCGTCCCCACGGGACCACAGCCCGACGGATGTATGGGGCAGGTCAATGAATACAGGGCAACCTCTGTGACCGAGCCCATTCAAAAGACAGGGACAATATTGTGACTAAAATAGCGATGTAGCGGTATCGCACCCGGACCGCCAATGTTTCCGATGCTGCCTCGGTTATTGGACACGGGACAGACGCCAGACAGACGTGATATCTCTATCCCCTGTCCGCACTCAATAAAGCAGAGCAATATATGGCAGTCAGTGTCCGTAAAGGCCACCGCCCACGCCCGCCCGGTGGCGCACCAGAATGTGTAATATACGTGAGGAAGTCATACTGGCGTAGTTTAGGTTCCGCTTTGGCGCAGTTCATTTGCAACCCGAAATGAAAACGTTTTTCCATATTGTCCGAGATACGATACACTTTTCAAGTCAGCTCTATCGTCTCAAACATCAGACATAGCACCGTGTCCCGGGATAGCACATTACGTTCTCACCCCACTGCCTAACGCTCCTTTACAATGATGCGATCGCTCTCTGTGGGACGCAGAGAGGCCTAGCGGCGTGTCGAATGGGCGATGTCGTCCCTGGTTATTAGTCGCAGGACAGCGGCGAGCAGACGTCCTACTGGGAGCCGAACCAGCCTACAGGGACCCCCTCCCACCCCCCCCCCCCACCCCCACCCCCCGGCGTATGGGGCAGGACTGGGGAACGCCGGGCGGACCTGGCGCAGCTGTGTTACCGGTGGCCGACACAGCCGGTCCCAGCTGATTAGAACGGCCGCGCTGAACCAGCCCGTTTCCGTCCAGTGTTTGGTCGGCCGAGAGATTCGCCTCCCACCCGCCGGGAACTAATGTCAAATCGATACCTCCAATTCGGGTCCCAGCTGGGCCCTGAATGAGGAGCGCTCTAACCGACAGAGGGCTCCAGCCGCTTAGGTCCTCGAGGTGAGGTCTTCACAATATTTCCACAAGCTTCGGATAACACTCATATCCTGCGTCTATAAATGTGTGATAAGATAGGCTTCGAATATGAAATAATTTGGATAGGCAGTCCTCTATTTTACAATTAGCTTTCGTATGAAACACCATCAATTGTGCTGCGTTTGAATTGTGCAGAAAATTTGTATATAAAAAGGCAATGCATCATGCAAGTGCATAAGTTGGAATTGTTTTGCTCCAAGTACGGAATGTTGTGTGCATCGTTGCTGGGATCAGTGCCGGTGTCTGTGTCAGTGTCGCATATCATCGCCGTACCGTTCGCGTCGAGCGGCCAGCTCTGCCAGCACGCCCTTCCAGCGTTTGTTGAGGTTCTCGATCTTCTCCAGGAAGTTGGTGGCCTCAGCCGCCGACAGTCCTCCGATCACCTCTCTGCTGGCCGACGAGATGGCCGTGTACACACTGTCGGAGAGGAGAGGGCGGGTCAAGTGGGGTCGTAACAGGTCAATGATACAGGTACAACAGGTCATCGCAGGTCGACACTGAGTGAACATGTCGTACACCGGGAAAGATACAGTGGTCAGATACTAGATCGTAAAGTCAGAACATGTCACCAACAACAGATCAGGGTACACCGAACGACCAGCAAATCAGAGACACGGGGACAGAAGGCCACACTTAGTCCGGTTGCAGAGCGCCGTCCGTTCCCCAGTCTTTCTCCGCGCCGCCGGGCCTAAGCGTCGCTTCACCGACCGCTGAACGTCACCAGGGCGTGGGTGGCTGGCCCGCCGGCACCGTGGCCAGTCGGAGCGTTCCGCGCCGTTTATTTGGACCAAACCGGTCGCGTTTCGCGATGCGTTCGCTTCCCTCGGCCCCCGGGGCAGGCGGCTGTTTTAGCGAACTACCAACGTCGGCGCAGAATATGTTAGAAGAACCCATAACACTCGCAACCAACAGTCACGACCCAGGCGGGCCAGTTGCATCAGCCAGATGCATTCAGGAGAAATGGTAATGGAGGAAAAAACATCAGCCGGACACATTCAGGCGAAAGAGTAATGGAGAAAAACGCGCGACACACCACCGTGCTAGGCGCTACGCAATATCAGCCACTTGCGTTTGTCGTGCTGGTGGCTTGATTAATTAGACCAAGAAGAGCGGGGTTACGGGACACTCTGCATTAGCGAGAGCCGATGTCGGGTTCCACGTACGAAGCTCGGCCGGGCGAAACATCTGCCCTTGTCCTCAGCTCAGCGGTCGTGTGAGAAATTACACACCAGAAATAGTTTCAGCGCAGCGCCGGCCGGCCCGTGCTAATTTCCTCTCCCAACCGCCGTAAATACGTCAGTACCCACTTATCATTAAAGCCCAACTCGGGGCGAATTTCCGCTGCGGCTGTCGGCGCCGCCACAGCGGGAGGTTCCACCCCACCCTCTCACCACCGGCGGGGAGGCACGAGTGTCTCCAGCGTCCAATAACCGGCCAATGGCAGCGACACTTATCCGGGCGCAGCTGCAATGGGCGGCCGACACTCGGGCGAGACCGTGTCACACGAGGAGGGACACAGGGCGAGCGACGGGGTCGGTCCATGGGAAGGCTGCAGATGAGCTGGGAGGCCAGAGTGGGAATGAAATGGAAGTGGCTGGATATTGCGCATTTCGGCAGCACAATATTTTTTTTTCCTAACAAGAGTCAACGAGATAAAAACTCGAAATCATGAGAGGGACGAACAACCACTACCAGCAATAGCATTTATGCATCGTAAGATTTGTGTGCCAAACTGGTTCATGGACAATCGAGTCATCAACTTACATAAGCAACGACCAAAAAAGCCTGAGTTGGACGGCTTTTCCTCGGTAAATCGTGATGAACCAATGAGATTCGGAATATGTATGCCGAATGTGAGGAGCAAATGAGCTGACAGTTGCTTGGTGTTGGTAATAGCACACTCTTGGAATGAATGAATGAATGAATGAATGAATGAATGAATGAATGAATGGACTGTCTCCCTCCATAAGTTTGCTTGCGGTGAATGCCACTGGTCCGAGACGCCAATGTCCTGACCGCAAAGCAGTGCCCCGAACAGCTCGGTCGTCAGCGTACCGCGGACGACCGGCGGTCGCCCGGCGGTTCTCGCATGCCGGCACGGTCAGGTCGAGTGACGGTCGACAAAGTTGGTCCAAATGTCGGCCGCTCGCCGTGGCAGGTGGGCGGTGGTGGCAGGACGGGTGAAAATGTCAGCGGTGGTGGCCGGGACAGCGACACATGGCGCCACACGGGGCCGGGGCAGGTGGCTAGACCAACTCGTAAAATAACCTCCACCGATCAGCTGCAGAAATGCCGTCAATACTCGTCATATTGTGGCGATATGTTTGACTGGGCCGATCAATGGTTCAGTCTCCGCGGAACGCTCAATATCGGCACTGGATGGAGCGGATGACAGAACTGCTCATACCGACAGCATGAGGGGCGGCCACAGTACATCGCTGGCACCAGAGGCGTCATCCATCATCCACAGTCACAGAGAGGAGAAACATCACAATCCCGGATGGCCGGGTCACCTGAGCCAACTTAGAATTAAAGCCGATATAGTCACCAGGTCACACATAACTACGGAAAAACCCTAACAGAATACGCGCGCTGCATCCCGCGTACACACTCACCCAACAATCAAATGCCGCCCGTATCAGTCGACCGACCGGAGGGCGCGCACTCACTTGTGTTTGATGGTGACCTGTTTCTCGAGCTCCTTCTGTGCGGCGCGCAGCTGCGGGATCTCTGCCGTGCCCAGGGAGCGGGTCTCGGCGATACGCGCCTCGGCTGTGACCAGCCACTGGCCAAACTCGTGCATGTTGTCCTGCAGCAGGCGCCACGTCTCCCGGCACCGGGCCATGTTGCTGCGGATATAATATGACGGTCAGAACGGTCGGGGCAGGGCAAAACGGGACACTACTTTCATGAAATGAAAACATGTATTCAACATCCCCAGCAAACATTAAAGTAGGTGTTTAAAATTCGCGCGGCGGCAGTCCGAGAGAGCTGGCTACAGTGACCCACCCGACACAGAAATGTCCGCTTAGTTTGGCCACATGGGGACGCTACCGGATGGTGGCGGCCCACCCCATATAACCACACGGCAGTCGAGTGCGACGACCTTGCGTATAACTTTAACACTCAGATCCCCGCGGTCATATCAGCGGATATGGTCAGCCATCACACAATAATCGTCTCAGTGGGAGTCCAGACCCCGGTCTGACAGCGCCATCTCTGAGACGGTTCAGTAGGTTCAACTTCTGATAGCGATCGTAACAACCGCTGAGAGGTGAATGGTTGTCCTAACCGAGACCTGACACTCATTTGCCCCGCTTCTGTCCACCCCTTACACACATTTTCCGTTCATGGACCGAAGACATATCCCCGCTCCTTTTTTCAGATTCAGATTCATTGTATTCACGTTAAATCCGCTATTGCGGCTTTTCATCAACGTAACGTCAAACGTTAAAAAGAGTTGACATAGCAAAACATACACACAATTCAAGCACAAGCACACACATGCATACAAGTCAATCATTCAGTTTGAATCACGCCCCAGCAAGTAGCGTTTCACGGCGGTTTTGAATGCTGGACGACCATTGTAACGGTGCATGAATTCGTTGTACTCCGAGACACCGCTATACAAAAGTTGCCGCCTGCCTGCCTCTGTTCGAATTCGTGGCAGCCTGAACCGGTTCGCATTTCGCGTGTTGTGACCCTGGTCGGACGCTCTGTCCAACTTGCTTGCCATCGCAGTCGGCTGTTGTGTCTCCACAATGCGGTGTACAGAGCACATTCGATGATACAGGGCCATGTCTGGTGCAGTGAGCCACTGCAGATCGCGTAACACATCCGACACTCTGTCATATTTCCTCCGCCCGCTCACAACTCGCGCGCAAAAATTCAGTATTTTCTGAACGCGGTGCAACTCCGTAGCACCACAGGTACCGTAAACAGCGATGCAGTAGCGGAGTCGGGAAACAACGAGCGAGGGGACAATGGGCACGATTACGTGGGGCGGCAGAACGTGTTTTGCGTGGTTTAAAGCTAATAATGTCCCGGTGGATCTAGAGACGAGGCGACTGACATGGTCGTGAAATGATAGGTGCTTATCCATGACAATGCCCAGGTTAGTAACCCAGTCGGACTCACGGATGGTCGTGCCGGCGAAATTCACACTGATAGTTGGCATGCCTTTCAGCATCTGACGCGTTCCCAAGACGATGAGCTGACTTTTTGCTGCGTTGACCTTCATGTCGTGGGCGCAAAACCATGCGTATAGGGTAGACAAAGCCTGTTCAGCAGTGCATATTAGTTGTTCAAGGTCTGCACGTTTTCCCGTGACGAGAAGCTGCGTGTCGTCGGCAAATTGCAATGTTGACACCTGGTACATGAAGACACATATCATTCACGAAGATCGAGTACAGGAGACAACTCAGTGAACCGCCCTGAAAAACGCCAGTCGTTATGGGGAGGGATTTTGACATAACTGAGGAACCCTCGGCGTTGCGGATCATCACTTGTTGTGTATGACCGCTCAGATAATTTCTAAACCAAGTGGTGTCCATGTTATACAGGCTCAACTTCTCTAAAATTTTCTCGTGATTGATGACATCAAAGCATTTTGATAGGTCAAGCAAAATCAGGATAGATATTTCGCCTTGGTCCATCGCCTTGAAAATCCTGTCAGTCGCCAAAATCGCCAGAAAAACCATGTCAGCATCTCATTTGTTATGTCGTTTGCACCAAAGGCTCCAGCAAGAAAGAGTGCGGTGCTGAACTACCATAAAGCCAATTATGAAGATATGAGGGAAGCACTTAACATGGATTGGCAAGGATTGTTTGAAGGTAAATCTGTGCAGGAGATGGCAGATAAACTTGAACAAACGATCGCGGATCTGATAGAAGAGCATGTGCCCAAGGTTGATCCTAACAAAAAATCGAAAAGGGGATATCCCCTCTGGATGAATCGAAATGCTCTGAGGATGGTGAAGAAGAAACAGCACGCCTGGATTCGTTTTTTGAACACTAAAGATGTCTCTGATTACCAGAGCTATGTTAAGGCAAGAAACGAAGCTACTCACGCGACAAGGAAAGCAAGGCGGGAATTTGAGTCGAAACTGGCTAAAGAAGTAAAAGGTAACCATAAAGTGTTTTGGAACTATGTCAACCGCCGTAGGAAGTCGAGATGCGGTGTATCTGACTTACGCAGTGCTAATGGAGAACTCACGAGTAATGACAAGCACAAAGCTGACATATTGAACCAGCAATACGCGAGCGTGTTTACAAAGGAGGACGTATCATCAATTCCAACTATAGCATCGAAGCCCTTGGAGTCAGAGATGGAAGTTACAATAACTGTTCAGAGAGTTAATGCCATGTTGAAGACACTTAAGGTCGATAAATCACCAGGCCCGGACAAGTTACACCCTCGTGTATTACAGGAACTTGCGGACCAGCTTGCGCCACCATCACGGCATTATTTAGAAAAAGCGTTGAAACTGGGGAAATTCCCCTGCAGTGGAAGCTGGCGATCGTCACACCGATCTTTAAGAAGGGTGACAAAAGTGATCCTGCAAATTACCGACCAGTTTCATTGACATCAATACTATGTAAGCTTTTGGAGAGGATAATTGGCGAAGACATCATTACGCACCTGAAGACAAATAACTTTATCGCTCATCAACAGCATGGCTTCATCACGGGAAAATCCACGGTCACAAACCTACTGGAAGCACTTGATGTTTGGACAGAAGCGCTTAGTCACAAGTTACCTGTGGATGTTGTATTTTTAGACTATGCCAAAGCCTTCGACACTGTGCCCCATGAACGGCTTCTGGCCCAGGTCAAGGCTCTGGGAGTCGATGATGTAACATGCCAATGGATAAGGAGCTTCCTCACTGGCAGACAGCAGAGGGTGAAAGTAAATGGATCGCTTTCAGATTGGGGGAATGTAACGAGCGGGGTGCCACAGGGCTCAGTCCTCGGACCTCTCTTGTTCTCTATGTTTGTTTGTGACATTCCCGACCTGTTAAATTGTTTCATTTCCATGTTTGCCGACGATACGAAAGTCTATCAAGTCGTCAACGAGTCTGATGATTCAAATGGCTTACAAGAGGACATAAACTCTATACAGGATTGGGCAAGAACAATGCAGATGCTATTCCATCCACTGAAGTGCAAGGTCATGCATCTAGGATCAAATAATCCTGAAAAAGAATATACTATGACTACTATAGATGGAGACAATCACACTCTGGAAGCAGTCAGTGAAGAAAAAGACCTAGGAGTTACTATTGACAAGAAACTATCATTTTCAAAACATGTCATGAACCAGGTTAACAAGGCCAATAGAATTCTCGGAGTCATCAAACATACCTTTGCAAACATTGACAGTGATGTCTTTCAAGCCTTGTACAAGAGCATCGTGAGACCCCATCTTGAGTATGCCGCTGTTATATGGAGCCCCAAATTTAAGAAGGATAAAGACGCACTCGAGCAGGTGCAACGGCGGGCAACGAGACTGGTGAAGGGGCTGTCTCACCTGTCATACTCAGATCGTCTCAGAAGCCTCAATTTGCCTACCCTTGAATTCCGAAGGCAAAGATCAGATATTATCGAGACATTCAAAATCTTAAAAGGCTTCGACACGGTGAACTACCAAAGAGAGTGCTCGTGTTGTCGCAACAGCATGTTCAAGAACTCTCTTAGCCGTACCACCCGAAGTCATGGTCAAAAGCTGCAGGTTCAGCATCAGTTGGGACCTAGGAAAGCCTTCTTCGCGGCACGAGTGACTCGGGCGTGGAACAAGCTGTCTAGGAACACTATTGAAGCACCAAATGTCGATGTTTTTAAGTTCAGACTTGGGAAAGAATGGAAGGACCACCCCGACAAGTTTAACTACAACTTCTCCTACTAATGCTCAACAGTGGCCACTCATCGTATTAACAACAGTAGCTACTGTCACTAACAACAGTGGTCGTCATTTTAAGGCGACAACAAGCATGGCAGCCAACTCGTCTTCATCAGAAGAGGAGGAGGCGCCTCTTGAGTAAAGGGTCTTATTACTCGAAAGGGTATCTAATGACCTTTACTTAAGGTAAATACTTAAGGTAATCACAGCTAACGCTGTCTCGGTGGACCTGTTGCGGCGATAACCGTGCTGAGCATCGGTAAACAGTTGATGCTCATTGAAAAATTCCGTGACTTGTGATTGTACGATACGCTCTACGATTTTCATGACCCCTGGTAGTAAAAGATATTGGCCGAGTGTTGCGTGGATCAGTGCTATCGGAACCCTTTGGTATGGGCACCACCAGCGCGTGTTTCCACGCACTGGGTACGATTCCAGTTTCAAGACAGCTATTAATAATGTCGAGGAGAATATAGCCTACACCATCGAAAAAGCGTCTTAACATGTCGACACTAATGCCATCGACACTAAATGCCTTTGTGCCTCCTGTGGCTGTGCCTCTCCTGTCTACCGCTGCCTCCTGTCTACCGCTGCGCCACTTTCAGTATTCCCCGCTCCCTTGCCCCACCTCTTATTCTCCGTCCACCCATACCTCCCCTAATATCCCTTCTCTACCTGTGCCTCTTCTGTCTAGTGTCTACTGTCTACCGTAGCTATACGTGTATCTCTTTCTTCTCCTCCTCACCTGTGCCTCTCCTGATAGCCCTGCTGCAGCCGTCGCCAGTCGTCGCGCAGTTTATCGGCCGCCCGCTGCGCCATCTGCCGCTGCGCCGAGTCAGCGGAGGTCAGCGAGCCCAGGTCGGTGAGCAGCTCCGAGACGCGCGGCTCCAGCGCGTCAATCGCCGCGCGGATACTCTGTCGCAGAGAGTACAGGTCAGATGTAAAACGGAGGAGGGCGGAGGGCAGAGTTCAGCAGCAGACCAACCACCACAACCGATAGCCTAATAACGCTGTGCATTAGTTCTGTTATCGGTGTGGCAGCGAGAAAACATGGAAACAACACACTGAAAACCAGGTGTAGTCTTCAAACCCTCCAACGTCATCGCTCATGAGACGTCTACTTATAGATAACTGCCTTTGAACGACGTGAACAAGGCTCCAGCGAAGCGTCTGTGATGTGCTTCTCAAAAGATCGACCGGACACCTATTGTAGACCCCAGCAACCCCAGCCACCGTCTCACCTTGAGTGCCTCCTCCCTGGCGTTGAACCGTTCGTACTGTCGGACTCCGAGGGGCGCAGAGGCCAGCTGACGCTGCACCGTGGCCACCGCCTCGCGGACGGTGGAGACGCGAGCGGCGAACGCGGCCGCCGGGCTGGGCGCCGTCTGCCGGAGGGGAGGGGAACAGTCGGTGTGGGGCAGTACCACAGGCAGTACCACGACGACTAACAACAGAGTATACAGTTAGCAGAGCGACTCCGGCTGGACGGCAAACTGCCGCCACAGTCTCAGAGTAGCCGAACATCTTTCATGTTGTCAGACTGTCACTGTCCCCTGGAGATTAGAGACAAAAAGTGCATCCAGATTCCAGACACAAAGAAAGGGCTATTCCACCTGTAAGACAGAGCACAGGCTGATGTGGTACTCCTCTCTGACCCCTTCCGCTGACTCCGTCTCACCTTGGGGTCGATGTTTTTACCGTCCATAAGTTTCTGGTACTGTTTGCAGCGGTCCTGGGCGGCCTTCCAGCGTTTGCTGAGGTCGTCCAGGATGGCGGCCAGCTTCTCTCGGTCCTGCCCGGTGAGGTCAGCCGTCTCCCAACGCACCGACTCGAGCTCCACGCCGCGCTCGCTGATCTCCTCCTGCAGCGCCTGCGTGAGTGAGGGCACAGAGGGTTAGAACAGTGTGACAGTAGGGCTGGGCTAGGCAGGACAGGCCAGAATAGGATAGGGATGGGAAAGGCAGGGCAGGACAGATTAGAAGTGGACGGGATAAAGCTGGACAGGTCAGCGCAACGCAACAGAGACATAGTACATACAGCGCACTCCAGAAAAAGACAGTTTTCTCCAGAGTAGATTGGATTCCAGTTTTGACATCGCACCGCCCGAGCTCGGACATTCGACGCCTGAGACTAAAGTGCGCCTAAAACCCCACATGGACTTAGCACGATCGCCGAGCTCAATTTGCTCGTGTCACCGCCCCCACCTCCATCAGGCCCATATCTGACTGCATCCATCGTGCTCACCCAGCCCACTGGACTCCGTGACCGACCCAGCGTCCCTAGTGGCAGGTCACCGGTGCGCCGTCCCAAAAATGGAGCCACCCGTCACGTTATCAACACTAAACAGCACTCATTACCATATGACCCCACAGGAGGCGGATCCCTGCCAGCCCTATCAGACTGATGTGAAACGACACGTCCATATTTGAACCTCAATGGAATATTGAGTAGAGGCAATACCGCGACGGGTTATTTCGGGGACGAAGCTCTGAATGTGGTCTGGGGATGAAAAAGTGGGCGTATAAGCTCGGGGCGCCAGACTGGCGACATGAAAAGAGGTGCGCAACAGCCCCGCTACCTTACCTGTCTGTGTAGGGAATGGTGAGTGGTCTGAGGTAAACTCGGGGGGAGGCCAGGGATGGTACGGCTCTCGCGAGATTAAGCGGTAGGTTTTGCACTTTTACATTTCCGGTTATATCTCAGAAACTAATCGATCTACAATGAAGCCATTTTTACACGATCGTGGCCGGCTTGTGAACCAACAAGTCGATCGCATCTTCAACACTTAAAAGCTTAAGACGACGAAGATATAGCCTGAAGTACACTAAATTTTCTAGGTGCAAAACCTACCGCTAAAACCCGCGAGACCTGTACTTTGCTGAGGAAAATGAGCCGGGCGATACTATCTCCTGAGGTGGGGTCAGGAGCGCTCCTGACCTGGCCGCACACCAGGTTCGCCCCAGTACCTTCTGCTGAGCGAGGTCGTTGTTGGCTGCCTCCAGGCGGGCATTGACCTGCAGCAGCCAGCGCTCTATGTCCTCCAGCTGGTGTTTGCAGGAGCGGCTGATGGAGTCCAGACGCTGGTACGTCAGCCGGCGGACCTGAAACAGCAGGGGAAGGTCAGGTCAGCTGGCGCACAGAAATCAGTCAGCCTCTGGCCGACGCACATAAGGCAGCCGCATCAGGTCAGGTCAGGTCAGGTCAGGTCAGGTTGGAGACAGCTGAGGCCATCCCGCGCACCAGGTGAAACACTTACGTCGCTAAAACCAGCGACGACAAGGTGGGAATCTGCTCAGACAAGTAGCGCCGTAGAGGCAAAGGTCTCTTGGACATGACAGGTCAAAGTATACTACCACCAACCTATCGGACTAACGGGGCGGCCCGCCAGAACCTAGCGCGATTAACACGTCCACAGCCCAGCACGACTGGCTGGCAGATCAAACGGTCTCAGGTGGCACGTCATCCATCAAAGCCGCACGACAGACGTCTTAGGTCAGAGTCTGAACCCCGAGTGGCACCTGGCGCCGGCGGCGGGAGTTTCTGGGAGGGAGGCCGCACCGCGCCAGAGGCGATGCCACCGCCGGGTTAAGCAGAGTTGAACAAAAGACGGTGCGCTACTTTACCGCAAACTTAGCAGCAGATGACAATGAAAGGCGATACCAGGACGAAGGCTAGAACTGCACTGGCCGTCCAGTAGATGAACACTGAGCAGCCAATACACCGCTGTTCAGCGACGATTCAGCGATACCTGGACACAGGCACAAACCGAACTGAGAGCCCGCATCAACACCAGCACCGAATCCCCTCCTCGCTCACCAAAACGCACACAACTCTCAGTTCACCCTCACACACCTCTCTCAGTCAGCCCGCGGTCGCTACCGCCCGGTGTCACCGTCCCGTCCCGTCCGCGGCCCGACTGGCCGCAGTCCGCCGGTCTCGGCGCGCACACGGCGCGGCCACCGGAGGCTCACATTGCAGTGGAACGCCGGAGGAGGCGCGGCGAGGGCGCGAGGAATCCGCCGCCGCTGCCAGCCGCGGATGACGGCCGGCCGCGCGACGCTGACGGACCGACGGCGGAAGCTGACGGAAAAACGGACGGAGGGAAGAGCGCTGACGGAATAACGGACCAGTAATGGTGGGATAAAGGACCAACGCTGACGGGATAACGGGTCAACGCTGACGGGATAACGAGCCGACGGGCCGATGGAACTGACGCTGACGGAAAGACGGACAGAAGGGACGGAGCTGACGGAGCTGACAGACCGACGGCCGCCTCCGACGGGATAATAGACCTACGGAATAGAGCGGACGGAAAAACGGAACGACGGACCAGCCGGCAGACGGATAGACAAGCTGGCTGGCGGGCTGACGAGCTGACAGACTGACGGAACAAGCACTGAAGGCCGATGACCGAAAGGCTGTCAGCATGACGAGCTGACGTACCGAGATGTCGAAGGGTTGATGGATTCCTAATCCCAAAACCAAAGTTCGACGGATAAACAACGATTGACTGAAGCTGGAGTTCCGATTGAGGTTTGAAGAGCCACAGAACTCTGAACGCTAGAGTGCTGGACACGTTTTTCATCAATCACTTCAAATAAACGATCCTATTGGAGTAAAGTACCATTGGTCAGAACAGAACCGTGTCACTGGGAGAGTCGGGCCAACGCCGCACTCCGTCTCCCTATTGGATCGAGACGAACACCAGCCAAATCGCTTCGGACCGCTGACGAGTCACCGGCAGCGATCCGAGCTGGCCTAGAGCTGCCCAGCGGGCAGTGCAGCTCCCTTGTATCACCCCTCATCACCAACATATACCGCCCAAACAAGCTGCACGGTCCTCAGGGACAGAGCATGACCACCTGACTCTGAGCGGCGGGCGGCGGCGACATCCCGGCCAAACACTTCAGATCGCCCCAAACAACACTCGACTTCAACTGTCGCAGACATACAAAGCCACGAAAGCACCCTATTAACACATAGGCCAATCGATCCAACAGGATGTGTCGCAGTCGTATTTGTGCACCCACTCCATACATAGGTAATAGGTATTTTGAAACCAACAGCAAGCAGCACAATACTGCAATCCCGGAGAGGCTGTCCACTGGGTCATCGGCCCCTGACCCGCCCGGCGGGGGCGGCGGCGGGGGCGGCGGGGGCGATGGCGGGGGTGGCGGGGGTGGCGGGGGCGGCGGCGGCGGCGGCGGCGGCGGCGGCGGCGGCGGCGGCGGCGGCGGCGGCGGCGGCGGCGGCGGCGGCGGCGGCGGCGGCGGCAGCGGCGGCGGCGGCGGTGGTGGCGGCGGTGGTGGCGGCGGGGGCGGCGGCGCGGTCTGCTATTTACGGCGACGCGGCTGAGTCAGTCGGCCGGCTGTCACCACCCAGCCAATTGTCTGACGAGACGCCGACGCTCTGTCGGGAAGGAAGACGTCACACTGCCGAGGGACACGTAAGATCGGGGACCGGCTGCAGCTCACTGCGGCTCATCCAGCGATACTGACTTAGGGTGACTGCTTGCAATTGGTCTGGGGACTGTCTGCGACTCGTCCAACGATGTTAATCAAGGGGCGAAAGTTGTCTGCATCTGTACCAGCAGCAATGACTGGGAACTGTGAGCAAATTGCCTGGCCGTTTAAATCAGAAACTATCGGCATCGTACCGGCCCAAGAACGACCGAGTGCACGCCCACTCGGGTGCCATCAATCAGCCACCGGCAGCAGCACCGTCCGCGAGACATCCTCCTTCCGCCGGGTGCCGTGTACCGACCCCGTGTCGGAGATGCCGGGTAGCACCCTCCCACCCGATCAATCTGTTCACACCGCCAAACAGCAGTCGGTTCACGCCGCCATCAAACAGCGTCCGTTCACACCGGGCTCTGACGTGTTTGGATCGGCGCCGCTCAGCCAGGCGTGTGTGTATCTACCGGGACGGCGAGTAAAAACCGGCAGTAAAACCGCCGCCCGCCGCGCCGCCGCCGGATCTGCACCGGGAGTCGGGCTGGTCGGTGGAAATGTTCGGCGTTCACACTGCGTTTCCCATATCGTCCGTCCGGGCAAGGACTGTAGTGATTGCAGGACAGGAGATACGACTCCAAAAAGAAGAGAGAAGAGAGAGAAGAGAGAGAAAAAAAAGAAAAGAGATTGGAGAGAGAAGTAAAAGAGGAAAGAAAGATAAGGAGACATCAGCACCGATCACGAGGTAACCCTTCGTACCACTGACACCTGACATGACATGCCACACGGGACCCGGAAAGACCCAGAGCCGGGCCGACCGTTGGAAGCCATCGAGTCTGGAGAAGGAGGGAGAGTTTTGCCAACAACCGGTCTGTTGGATGTTCGACATCTGTCCTAGCCACTTCATTCCATCCGTCAGTGTCTTCGGCTGTCAACACAGCTCGCTGCTTGTCATCAGCCATCACTACTTGTGGCTGTCGTCGGGTCCATGGCTGTCACCATGACTCACATCACGATAGTCACAATAGTGGCACAGCTGACTTTCCTTTGGCGCCGCGACCGTTCCCTGGCACTGTCTTAACCCGCACGGGGCTGGGGTCTCCAGCCGAACGCGCGGGGCTGGGGGGGGGAGTAAATTTTACCCCCCCCCCCCTGTTATCTCCCGAACTAATGGTCCGATTTGGAAAATTCAAACGCCAATCGAAAGATCTCATCACGAACAACTTAAAAACATGTACTTAATTTAAAGTTTGAGGTCAAGGTCAAGGTCAGGTCAAGGGTACAAATTGCAAGTTTATAAAGTATCGGCCTTGCACCGTAGTTGCCGAAGAATGGAGTCATGGACTGAGGCTGATTGTCCAAAACGTGTTCTTAGGCTACCAAGACAATATGCGTTGCATACAATATCATTCAGAGGTCAAGGTCAAGGTCAGGTCAGGTCAGGTCACCAAAAACAAAATATAGAAAAGGGCATGTGCGACACATGTTTTATGGGTCATTTTACTCATAGAATTCAATAGGCACACTCAATAAGTGATATGGACCACCTCTGGATGAATTTCAGGTCGAGGTCAGGTCAAGGTCAGGTCAAGTGAGGTCAAATTTTGAAGTTGGTTGTTAAGGCCTAAAAAGGTGTCTATCTGATGCAGTTTTTCACGGCGAATCGAATGGAGCTATTTTGTTTCCGTACGAGGTCTAGAACTTCCAAAAAAAATCATTTTTCAAAATTTTTGTGTGTCGTGACGTCATAAAATTTTGAATAACTCCCACATTTTTGAACCGATTCTTCTAAAAATTGGTATGTAGGTGCACATAGACCACTTCTCTGACATATATTCCGGTTTTTTCGATACACTCAAAATTTTTGATTTTATAATTGTATTCTCAAAAAAGTCAGTTTTTTGAAAAAATTTGGGCCAAAATCCAAAATTTTCAAAAAATCGAGATAGCCATTTGATAGACAAAGTAGAATTACGTATAACCTTTTTTGTTACGTCTTGATTCCTTTAAAAATGAAGATGTTAGCGGCGTTTGAAATTTTGCCGTTTTTGAGGCGAAAATGGCGAACATGACGTCACTAAAACGTCAATTTCTCAAAAAATTTCCGACGGATTTCGCTCAAATTTTCAAGGAACGTGTCAAATTGATGTAAAAAAAGGTACTGAAAGTTTGGCGGCGCTGCGCGCCGCCGTTTTTGAGATATTGCAAAAATTCGCGAGGGGGGGTAAAATTTACCCCCCAGCCCCGCGCGGGTTAAAGGGACCCTCCCACCTTCAAAAAAGTTTATGAATTGGCGTGAAAGTGATGTCGCTCGGTTCAGAAAGAGCGAAAACGAATATCTACCAAATTTAACCGAAAAATATTCACCGGTTTTCAAGCTATTAGACTTTTACTTTTGTTCACTTTTTGGGATCTCCCCTGTTCCTAGCGACTTTATTTGGAAGCAATAGTTTGGCAGCTGAAAGTGCGGCACTTGTTGCGCGCAAAGCAGCATATACCACCGCGTGCTACAAAACGTTTTAGTCAAACATTTAAAAATCGTTAGATATCTGCGTTGACGTCACACATTCAGAGGGGTATTCCTATGCATTAGCCCCTCTGAATCAAAATGCTGCAATTTTGAAATTCAATATTTCCGATTTAAGGCATTT